ACAGGTGAGTTATATGCAGGAACATGGGGAACATGGGTAGAAATATAGAAATGTGGCTTTTAAAAAATAATCAAAATAAAAAATAAAGATCATTTATCTATGCACAGGTGATGTCACATGTCATGCTGTCATCTACTTCTACCTTGTACTCTACTTTTATATATTTATAGTACTCGTGCAATGCACGGGTATGAATTGGTGGTTTCTTTCATATAAGATAAAAAATTGAATTACCACAAAATAATTAGTTGAATATTAAATTACTATTTTAAGTCATGATTTCAACTTAATTTAAAATAAAATATCATTAAGCTTTTGAAATCTACAGTACAAGTAGATCCATTATCAACATTTTTAGAAATATGCTATATATGTAGGTATATAAATGGATGTTCCTTTAAAAAGATTGAATTAATGGAGACAAAAGCGTTAATAGATTGAAACTCAAATATTTGATTATATTCAATAATTACACAGATAATATCATGGTCAATAATATTATATTGGACAAATATGATATTTGATTCTGTATTGTAAAAGTAGGCTATTTAATATAAGAAAAATTAATAGAGACAAAATCGTTACTGAGTTAAAATATTTTGAATTAGATTTCAAAATAATTCATAAATAAAAAAATAATAAATATTTTAGGCATAAATAATAGTTTAGATTTAGGATGTAGGATATTATTTTCAATATACTAAATTACTAATAAACCAGCTAAAATTAAATTTGAAGCATAATTAATTTTAAATAATATCATCAAATGTCAAATTATGAACATACGTCATGCCTCGTATATATGTCATGATTTTCGGGATAAGAGAAGTTATATAATTTTATTTATTTTTCTTAATTTAAAATATTGCATATAAAGGGTATTTTGGTTTTTACAAAAAATAGAAAAAAATAAGGCTCATTATTGGAGATAATTGCAATAAATTCTGTAATAAATCAGAATTAAATGAATTAATAAAAAAATTATAAAAAAGTAGATTTATCTACCATTAACAAAAATCATTATTTTATAAAAATAAATAGAAAGACATGAAACATGCACTCAAATAAATATGATCGAACTAATTTCCAAGAAAAACGCATAAATAGAGAGATCATGGGTAGAAATATGACTTTAACAAAAATAAAAAATAAAAAATTTATATGCAAACAATTCAACTAAAATATAAATAAACAATACATCCTAAGAATTCAACTAAAACCATTTAAATAAAAAATACTGCATTATGAGATATAACTAACTTATTCTACCACAAAAAGAAACAGATAGTTGGAATAAGGAGGAACATGCATCATGATAGTGAATAACACGTAAATAGGGAGTTGGACATAAAATTTTGGCTTTAGAAAAAAAGGAGAAAAAAAACCCATTTATCTATATTCTGGTGAAGCCAAGTGGCAGTCTGCTAGTAAGTCATGCAAGATACAATTATATGAAAAAATTGCCCATGTTTCTAGATTTTGTGAATATGCTTCTTCCTATAATTTATCCATTTATAAATCAATTTAATAATTAAGTGGCCAATTTAAATTTTAAGTTGCTTTACATTCCAAATACAAACTTTCAAAGTGTCTTTAGATAATATAAGATAATTCGAATACTTGTTCATATCCTAGAAAAAACGTTTAAACTAAACTAACTATCTGATAAATATATAATTAAAAATTGCCACACGTTTCCATATTTTGGGAATATACTTCTTCCTATAATTTATTCATTTATAAATCAATTTAATTATTAAGTAGCCAATTTAATCTTAAATGACATAACCGGGTTTTAAATTCCAAATTCAAACTTTCAAAGTGTCTTTAGATAATATAAAATAATTTGAATAATCATTCATATCCTAGAAAAAATCATGATATGTTGACTAGAAAATTCTCTCAAATAATAAACAGTTGGTGAAACGTGGGCAGAAACCTGGGTAATTAAATGTGGTCATTTTTTTTTAAAAGAAAAGAACATTTATCTGATCTTTGGTGATGTCACGTGTCGTGTTGTCAGATACTCATGCTTTGTATTCTACTTTTATATATTAATACATAGATTCGCCTTTTTTGTAGATAAAGCTACATGCATTAAAATTTATGCGTATAGTTTGCTCTGGAGTGCCATTCTCAAATTTGTAAATCCATTTTTAGCCAATCTTGAGGAGAGGGGAAAGTTTTCAATGCCAAGCTATCGTAGCGGCAGCCCCACCTTCTGTGCTTGGTTGAGATTCCAACTTGAGGCATCAATATGTTCTGTATGCAAGTTTGTTTAATTGTATAAATAAAGGGGAGGAGACAGATTTTGACTGCATAAAAAGAGAAGGAAAGACCATTTCTAGTAAGATTAATCATTCTTCTTTAAACCTTTGAGTAGCTCTACACTAGGTTTTTGTTATGAGTCTCATAGTAGGATCCTCACAGTTATGTTGGAGTTTGCAAATTTAAGGGGTCTTTTTTCTGATGGGCTAGGATTTGGTTTTTTTCTCTAGAATTCTTATCAGAAAATAATTGTCGTGAAAGCTCTGGGGAATCTATGCAAATCATTTGTGTCAAAAAGAGGCTTAACAACCTTGCAGCAACACATTTTCACCAATCTATCATACGTCCGGATCTACGAATGCTGTTGGCATTCTTCCCTGAATTCACTTCTTCTATAGCCAATCTCCTATTTCATCGTCTGGTATTAGCATATCATCATGTTTGTTCATATATATGTTATGTCAGAACCATGTAATTTCTTCCCTTTATTACTAATATTATTTGTTAATTTCAGCATTTTTTAAATTAAGTGTGTTCAGAGTTAAAGAAATTTAAAAGATACTTTATAATTCAAATTGCATTAATTCATTAAAATCAAACACATGGTTAATTTTAATCTGATGCTTCTATAAAATTCAATTACAGATCAATTATAGCTTGATTGCTGATGTTTAACCCACCGTCAAACCAATTACTGGTCGGATTTTTAAAGCTTGGTTGGATACGCAATGCGGCAATAGGATATAGAATAAATGCTCACGTAACAATATTTTAGGCAATAAAGATGACATGAGATGCAAAGAAAATTCAAATATCAATATCACCTTCGTGCTTGATATAAAAGCTAGTGACTTGATTAGATTAGATTAGAAAAATTAGTTAATATAATTATTTGTAATAAACAGGTGTTGTCTTTTATAAAATACCTTTGCTAATTATATGTATTAGCAAAAATTACCATTTGATGAAACATTTAACATGTGTAATTATTATAAAAACTACTTTGAAAAAGCATGAGTATAAGAAATAAAGTGAATTAAAATATTATAGTTAAGACTAAATTAAATATCAAATTCACTCTTATATTAAAAATTAACAATTACTTCCATTTGATTGAATGGGTGGAAACATGACCAAGGAAATTGGAAGATTGAGATGTGCATGAATTCGATTCTTTCACATTTTTTTTCCGTGAGAAAAACCAGAAAGGTAGAACGTGAAAAGTTTTTTTAAATATTTTTATAAGATAAAAAAATGTGTTTTTGGTCTCATGTTCTGAAGAACAAACTTTTTTGGTTAAATAAATTGATTTTTATAAAAAGTAAAAAAATTAAATTTATTTTAAAAAATAAAAAATCAGAACATCTTTTTATTTTTTTTATTTTTTGAAAAAACTTGCGAAGATACGGGAACATTGTATTTTTACTAATAATAATCATGCTAGTAAAATAAATTATCCTCTCACCCTTCACGTCATAAATTTATATATATATATATATATATATTATTTCTTGTGGAAACAAGGAAAAGATCTGGTACTTGCTGAAATAATTTTAAAGAAAGTAATACTACTATTTACGACGCATATCAAAAGGTGAGTAGAGATGGACAAAATTTAAAAGACTAAAGGTGCCTTTCACTGATGTAAAGAAATTGGATGGTAATAGCTAAGAAAATAGTAAAACTGAATAAAATAAAGTATGGAAATAAATTATTACTTTCGGTCCATGTTTTTTAATCGAATCATATGGTCTGCTCTTTTGATAATGGGAAAGAAGAAAATATGAGAATTATCCGTCAAACTCTGAAAAATAAAGAGCAACAAACACGAAACCGATTCCCGGTCGCAAGGTTTTTCACCCACTGGTTGTTTTTTTTTTTAATTCAAAGACAACTGCTAAATACGAAGCAAACAAGAGGATCACAAAATGGGATTAGGAGCCTGAGATGAACAAACTGAATCTCAAGGTCTCAGTTTAGAGAAGATTAATGATCTCACATGAATAATCTTGTCCCTCGAAGAATGAGATGGGCCACAGTCAACTTTTTTTTTTGGCCAACTAATTATTGTATAATTTTCGAAATTTTTTTGTATAAATAGTTTTTATCGGGGCCAAAATTTGTATAAATGGCTTTGACTTTCATAATCACCCAGTCTTATAACCGCGCACGAATAGCAATAGCTTGAAGTTTCGCAACAGTCACAATCTACAACCCAGTCAAGAGTTGTTCCTTCTTTGCTATTTCCTTCATCGTTGTGAAAGTCTCAATTATACTACCTTTTGTCTTCAATATAAGATCCTATTTGATTTTTATTTTGATCCTAAATATAAGATCCCAATCCACTTTGTCTCTTATATTTATATATTTTTTTTAAAATAACCCTTCTAACAGTAATAGTTCTAGTCAATACACTTGATTAGTAAGGATATTTTAAAAAAGACAATACCTATTTAGGACAAATAACTAAATCAATTTACTTCTTTAATCTCCTCAAATTAGTCAACTAACTCTTATAATTAGGACCGAAGGTAGTAATAAATACGGCATTAAAGATGGATATTTGTTTTTTTTTTTTTAATATTTGTTTTGGTTTGATTGGGCATGGCATTAAAAAATATGGATTCAACGTTCAAATTTCATGGACAGGACTCCTCACTTTACTCGATAACAATGATATCGAACGGTGGCGATGAATCATATGCCCAACGTAACACGCAAGCCCTCTAGGGCTTCCCTGACCAGAGTGCGTGAACCCACACGGTAGTCCCGTCCTCGCCGACTGCGACGATGGAAGAACCAGCACGCCCTTTCACCGTTTGACGGGTTCTATCATTTATATATATATATATATATCTACTGCTTTTCCTCTCCAATTTCACTTCTCTATACCGCCCCTTTCAATCTTCATCTTCTGCCTTCGTTTCTCAACCTCGCTCTTCTTTCTCCATCGTCTCCCTTATGGGACAGTCACCTTCCACCGCTCTGCCTTCTCTGGATTTGAATCGTCCGGAGATCTCTCCCAGCAATCGCTATAGCTATAATTATGGGGTCGCAGATGTGCCTCCGGAGTGTAACAGAGATGTGGATTTTACGGATGATTCCACCGGTGGTTTTGACTATACCGCTAATCTTCCTGACGATTGCTTGGCTTGTATTTTTCAGTTCCTTAGTTCCGGCGAACGAAGATGTTGTTCGCTTGTGTGTAAACGCTGGATGCGCGTCGACGGTCAAAGCCGGCATCGACTTTCCCTGAACGGTCAAGCGGGGATGCTGGATTTTGTTCCTTCTCTGTTTAGTCGATTCGACTCTGTCACGAAACTTGCGCTGCGATGTGACCGCAGGTCGATCAGCATAAACGATGACGCCTTGATACTGATCTCTCTTCGATGCGAGAACCTCACGCGTCTCAAGCTCCGTGGTTGTCGTGAGGTCACCGAAGTTGGAATGGCCGCTCTTGCTAAGAATTGCAAGGCTTTGAAGAAGCTTTCTTTTGGATCGTGTTTGTTCGGCGTCAAGGGCTTAAACGCCGTCGTCAGTAATTGCACGCTCCTGGAGGAGCTATCTGTCAAGCGGCTCCGAGGAACCCATGACGGTGCGGAAGTGGTTGGTCCTGTTCCTGCAGATTCCTCGTTGAAATCGATATGCCTGAAGGAGCTTGTTAATGGCCAAAGTTTCGCACCGCTCATAATTGGTTCAAAAAGTCTTCGGACTTTGAAGGTAATTCGTTGTATGGGAGATTGGGATAATATTCTTGATAGTGTTGGAAAGTTCAATGCTGGTCTAATTGAGGTCCATCTCGAGAAGATTCAGGTTAGTGATGTGGGTCTTTCCGGAATATCCAATTGTTTGGACTTGGAGACTCTGCACCTTTTTAAAACTCCTGAGTGTTCAAATTTGGGGCTTTCTGTTGTCGCTGAGCGATGCAAACTATTGAGAAAGCTTCACATTGATGGCTGGAGGACCAATAGGATTGGTGATGATGGTTTAGTTGCTGTAGCGAAGCACTGCGTTAATTTACAGGAACTCGTGTTGATTGGTTTATTTCCTACTTCTTTGAGCTTAACGGCCATAGCTTCCAATTGCCGAGAGTTGGAAAGGTTTGCTCTATGTGGGATTGGCACAATTGGTGATGCAGAAATCGAGTGTATTGCTACGAAGTGTGTGGCACTCAAGAAACTTTGCATTAAAGCATGTCCTATTTCTAATGCTGGGATTGAAGCTCTTGCTTCTGGTTGTCCAAATTTGGTTAAAATAAAGATCAAAAAGTGCAGGAAAGTTACTGTTGAAGTTGTTGAGTGGCTGCGTGGAAGGAGGGGTTCTTTGGCTTTTAGTTTCGAAGATAGTGAGGTCGAAGCTTTGGATGGCAATGCCAGTGATAATGGAGCTCAGGATAGCACGATAGGATTTACTACGCACTTAATTGGCCAAGAGCCAGTTGCTGAGGCTGCCTCAAGTAGTAATACTAATAACAACCGCTTGACTATGCTCAGAACCAAATTTGGATTTCTGGTTGGTAGAAATTTTGTGCCTTGTCCCTTCAGAAGATGGTCAACAGGTGATAATATTGCCAACGATAGCGTCTCATGATCTGCGAGAAGGCCGAAATGCTTTTTTGCCATGTTAGGGTGCCTGTGTCCAATTGCTAATTCATTGCAGTTTGATTGCTGAATTTCATTTTCCCCTGGTGAATTGCCAATAGCAATTCCTCTGCTTCATTGAATTTGTTGATTCGCTTTATTATTAAGTGGTTCTTTCAATTTGTTGTTTTTAATGCTAATATCAGTTTTTGGGTTACTGGATTCACTATTTGAAGTGAAAGTTGAACAGTGGACTGTTCAGGATCAATTTGTTGTCAGCATTATGAGCTAATGAATTTTAAGTCCCTATTATTTCCTTTGCTTGTTGTGGTTTGTTATGGTGTGCTCTTTCTCAATGTAACTTGAACATGCTTCCCCAAGGAAGCTTGTCCATATACAACGAGATCAAAGTAAGCTGTACCCCCTGAAGGAACTTGGAAATACCACGATCAAGTATCAGGGTTGCTTTTCCTTAATCATGAGGTAGGGAACAGGCTATTGGAAGGTGGAGGTTTCTGAATCGTTATGTTTGAAATTGAAGTATGTGTTTTCTTCTCACTGCACAGAATCTGAGTTTAAGAAATGAGTTCTGAATTCTGATGTTTGTGATTGTGTATGGTGCATCTTTTTATAGATTTTTATTGATATTTGATATGATCAAACTGATTTTAGATGCTATCATATTGGTAATTCTCCATAGTTATTTGAGTTTGGCTGCAATCCTCATGGTCTTTTCCGTCAAAATCTCTATTGTTTTAACCATCTCATATTCTCCTAAATCTTTCACGCATTCTGCTCCTCTACAAAGGGCTCTCTCCCCGCACTGTTAGTGGTGGCAAACAAGCAAATTCTGTCCCCCCCCCCCCCCCAAAAAAAAAGTAAACTAGCATCCTGTGATCTTATTTTTAGGCACAACGTCTTGATGTTGTTTTCCTGTCCAGCACCCCCATGTACCTGAGAAATAAGACGGTATTCCCTGAAAATAAATGTCGGGTGTTTGATGTTATTTTACCTTCTTTTGGACAAAAGAAGCAAATTCTTCGGCCGTGTCTTTCTTGCTTTGCGCTGTTCTGATAAATATCACTTCTATCCTCTTTCCATTTCAACCCTTGTTTGTGTCCAAATCACTACATATGTGCTTTTGCCTCCATTAATACGAGGGCGTGGTTTTCACGGGAAGCCAGGTTTTTATGTTTTGTTTAAACATTTTTTTATAATTTCAATATTTAAATGTCCTTAAATTTTCCATCATAGGGAGATCGATGAATCATATCATAATTTGAAGGAAACAATTTGTATGGGTGAAACTATTCGAGATTCGGACTGCGATTATCCAATTATGGGAGAACCTAGTCATCGATATAAGGAATGTAGCCTCAAAAGCATACCCGCGCATTAGAAGTAATGCAAAATTGCAAATCAAACATCGATATTTCCTCAGATTGCAATCTCGAAGGCTTCAGTCCCCCAAAAAAGGAAAAAAAAATTCTCCAAGGCAAAGCAATCAAGCCTCCACCTCCTAGTTGATTGGAATCATAAATGAAGCGTCCAACGATTATTAGTCGAACGAAAATTAAACATTAAAAAATAGAGATTAAAATAAAGGGGATAATGGCTAAAAATAATAATGCACTGCATGTTATTATAATATATATAATAATTATTATAAAATACATTATAATATATATTTGTTAGTAAAGAAATAATATATATTGCATCTTTTTAGATAGGGTCAAATGGACAGGGTAGTATACCTTGTCGTTAGGGGTGTTCAAATAGGCATATCCTAGTACCGACCATATTGGGATGGGACAAAAAATAGGTCTAGGATGGGACATGGTCGTCCTGTCCTAGTCTTGTCCTAGTAGTATTATTTTTTATTTTTTCATCATATTATAATTATTTAGTGCTAAAAATACAAAATATTTAAGGTATGTGTAATACAAAATGTTTATATTTGTAGCTTTCAAGACATATGTAGTCAAATGATTATTATTTATTTAGTGTTTTTATAGTTGTTTATAATTTTTGGAATGGTGAAAATAAATTTTGGAGTTATTATGTTATTGATTATTATTTATTTGGACCTTTTTTTTTTTAAGAGAGTTAAGCCTAAAGAAATAAAAAACAAAAAACAATGCTTTCAAAAGGGATGAGCCCAAAGAATTAAAAATAGAAGGAGAAAAATAGCTAAAATTCATTGCAATAGGTCCAACCACAAAAAAAATATTTTTAAAAAAACAAAGCAGAACGTACTGGTTCTGTCCTATTCCTGTTGAGACCGAGATAACACCAGGACAGGACAGGACACGAGACAGATTTTCTATCCCTCCCTCAGTCATCGGGACCATTCCGGTCCCATCTTGTCCCGTGAACAGCTTTACCTATTGCCACTTAGCTCACAGCCTGGCCCGAAGTTGCCTTTTTTTTTTTTGGTAGCATATTTTTGGATCGGATAGGCAATTTTTTTTACGGGCTCGGGCAGATGTATTGGGCATATAGGCTCCATGCACACCCCCTAGTCCCCTACTTATGACTGCTGATCCCGACAGATTCTAATACCACTTCTGATTTTTAATATAAGAACTAGTTTGATATTTAATTTGATCACGAATATAATATCACAATACATCTTATTTCTCATATTTATTTAATTTTCAAAGTAATCTTTTTAATAATTGTATATGTTAAAAGTTTTATCAAATAATAGTTCTAGTTAATACACATGATTAGTAATGATATTTTAAAAAAAATAACACATATTTATTATAAATAACTAATTTAATAAATTTTTCTACTTTAGTTAGATTAATCAATTGGCTTTTGCACGGGAGCTAACATATTTTGTCTCTAATAAAAAGCTGTTTTCCATTGAATTCCCCACTCATCGGTGAAGTAAAAGAAATAATAACGGCCCGGCACCCCGACCCGGGCCGCCATTTATTTAAGAAAATTAATAATTTTTTTCAATAGAAATAGAAAATTTCATAGTTTTCTAATGCTTGCTGACTTGCTGTTTTGCGCCCCTTCCATGCAGGCATAGAACCCTAGTCCTATATTGGCATTTCCCCTTTGCCCGCTTCCTTCCCTGAGCTGTTTTCGCTGGGTCCGCGTTGCTTTGTCCTTCCTCTTCTCTCTCACTCTCCCTTAGTCCTGCTAGTTGCTGGCAGTCAGGCCTGCTAGCCAGGTAGTGGCCTCTCTCTCTCTCTCTGTGTTTCTTTTTTGGTTTCGTCGATTTTCTATGACACAGCTGGGACTGTAACGGGGTAATGTTACTTACTGTGATGCTAAGTCTAGTGTCTAATGCTTGTTTCGAAAGGTGTGGTGTTTGTTTCTGATTGTGATTCATATTATTGATACATGTTCAGGATTTTATATCAGGACTGATTATTTTGTTATGTATCGTCGCTTGTTGGTTTATATAATTTTTTTTTTTTTTGGTGGTAGGCTGGATTGTTTTGTTTCTTGCAGCTCGCTCTTTTATATGAATGTTTAAGGTATCTAATCTATCTAGCCTCGGAACTTCGAAGAATCTACAATGGAGGAGAAGATAGACGTTGCAGACAGAACGGTCAGTTCCGTTCTTCTATGTTTACGTTACTTCTGCCCTAAAATTTAGTTGGTTCATGGATGTCAATTTTAAGTTAAATTCATTTGCTGTGCTCTTTCTTTGGGCGATGATGATCAAGCATGTTGTCAGCTACTATTCAGTTACATAGATCGCTTCTGATTCATTCTTGGTCTTTGACAAGTATCTGTTTTAGCTTCTATTATTTCTAATGAAACAATAAAGGAACATTACATAGAAAAGGATCACGGTATCATTATTAGTACATATTGGCTTAGGGTGGTCCTTTTGTTATATACAAATAATTATTAGTTATTTCATCTATGCGAGCAGGTGCTGGTTGATATTGTAAAATTGGTACAAAAAAGAAGAATGCAGGGTGCGCTGGGAGACTGGAAAAACTTCTTAATGAGTCATGATAAAAAGTTTGGGTCTAATCTGAGTGATCCAGCAAAGAGGTCCCGTGAGACATTGGTTGCATTTCTAAAGACGTTTTCGAAGGAGGGTGATTTAAAGGTGAAGAACATTTAAGCTAAATGCCCTTGATAAGGGATAGTCCTTCTCATTTGTTTCCTCTGTGTGTTAGTGTGTTGGGGGGGGGGGTGTTTGATTGCTTTTTTTACTAAGTTTACGCATTTCCCTGTACTCAGATATTTGATACCATCCTGCGACGCTATTCTAATAAAGATTTATTTGGGTTATTCAAAGATAAGTCTTGTGACATCCCTGAGCAGGTATGTTTCGTAGTGATTGTTATATCCAAGACCACACGAATTGTTCTTGAACTTGTTTTCCAAATTGAATTGCAATTGATATTCTCTTTCTTGACATGATAAAATTGGTTGAGTCATTAAATCTGGGCTTTGCTTATTAATGATAGATTCTTCTCTTGTATGATATTTCAATTGATGATTTAATATCCATTTCCCAAAGGCCAAACTTGCTGTATGCATTCTAGATTCTGTGAACATATCATTAGTGCTTTATCAAGTGACTGTGTATATAATTTCATAGTAACACTCACTCTTTTGATTTTTCTTTATGCATGCATACCTTATGATTTATCTATGAAACTACCCATTATTCTAGTTATAGTTTTATAAACCATTGCTTTCTGAATTTATAACATCTAAATCAGCATTCCATGGTAAGGTTGATTCATATGTTAAGGATGTCTCAACACTGCAATCAAACCCAAGTTTAGTACCTAACATACAAGTGACCCTAAGTGATAATGTGACTTTTCTGAGATTCAGCAAAAGTAATTTTTTGGTACGGGTCAATTTACTTATATCCATTACAACCAATTCTCCGATCAAATCTCAAGAGTTGGATTTTATAATAAATATAATTATAACCCATTATATTTAAGTGAATGATGAAGTGAGGAAAAAATTTGAGACTTGATTGGAAATTCGGTTGTGATGGATGTAAGCAAATGCACCTGAGTTTTATCCTTTTGATATAACTTCAACAACTAGTTATATTGCTGTTTTGTTACTTGTTCTCTCCTGTTTATTGCTTGAAGTGAGGAATGGCAGAATGTACAAGTTTGTATATGATATGCCAATCTTTGAACGTGGGTATAATGTCTTCGAACAACTTTGAGTGGACGATTTTGGTCTTCACAATTTTAGTGGCGTTAATGTAAATGCCTTTGTTTCCTGATGATTCTACTACAATTTTTAACTTCTTTTATTGACAGTGCAGAGGCTCGTCCAAAACACTTTGCAGCACCCATCGTATCCATTGGATTATGCATTTGAAGAACTTGATGAGGTTTGCTCTGATTATCTATGCTCGAATCTTCTGGTCAACTTATTTACGTTTGAAATGCTGATGAACCCTTGACTGTTCTTGAGTATTTGTATGCATTTGGAATTGTCTTTAAATGTGTATCTCCCAACCTGCAAGTGATATATACCATGGTTATCAAAACGAGATACGAATCGTGAATCGGAAAGCCTATTTTTTGAATCTTGAATCGTAACGTATCGTGAATCGTAAGATTCATGAATAACTATTAAGGATGATATATAGGTAATTTTTGTATAAAAAGATATCAAAAGTTTGTAAATATTAGTTATTTTAAACTCACAAAGAAAAAAAAAAGCCAACATATGAAATTCTAAAGACAAATAGTCCTCAAAATCAATTCACAAAATCAAAATCCTAGTTTAAAAAGACTAAAATCACTGAACATAAAATTCAATTCCTCATTTATCATCTCCAAGATCAATGTCACTCAATTCATGATCATCCTCCATTAACAATGTCACTTCTTCATCATCCTCCTCTTCCCCATCTTCAGCATCATCTTCATTCTCATTCTCTTGTCTTACTATAGATTTTCCTTTGTTATTGGCTTTGGCATTCAAGTTTCTTGGACCTATGGGAAAAAAAACTTAATAAGTATGATGGTATATATTTAAACTACAAATTAACTTAAGTTTAGCTTTGAAATATTATACCTCTCTTTCTTTTCTTACTTGGAGCTCCTTCATCAAGAGTAAAACTCTCATGTATGTCCATCCATGACCCGTCCACTGGCAAGCATGGATTTTCTTTTTCAGTGATCCACTCATCATCAGATTCAATATCTGATAAACAGATTGGATCATATGTCTCTCCTTTTTCCTCTCTAATCTTCTGCCTCATCTCAAGTTGAAGGTTGTACTTGACAAATACAAGTGCATTTAACCTTTGTTGTTCTAAACGATTTCTTCGCTTAGTATGCACTTGATCAAATGTGCTCCAATTTCTTTCACATCCAGTAGCACTACACGTGAGACTCAAAATCCTCATAGCTATCTTTTGCAACTCCTTGCCCTCTCCTCTATAACTTTCCCACCAAAGAGCTAAAAAAGATACAATAATGAGAAATGATTTCAAAAATTCATATTTATTATTAAGATTAAAAATTACAGTCTTCTAAATAGAATAGACTATAGACTAGAGAATGGTACCAGGTTGCTTTTTGTTTCTAGTATCTATTGCCATGCTCCTTCCAAAAAGCCCCTTAGCAGACTTAAATGCTTCAAGTTGTTGATCAACTAAAAATCTTGTCTTTCTATCTGGAATCATTCTCTCAATAGTTTCATATAAACCAAAATAAACTTCCTGGTCCGCATTAAATTTTTCATCATAATGAAACCTACGAAAATAACAAATAAGTTATGTTTTTCTAAGTTCTAACATACAATTAAACAATAATATTTAAATTTTAAAGTGTATAAAACTTACTTAGGATTAAGAAAGTAGGCAGCCGCATGGAGGAGTCTATGTAATTGCAAAGTCCAACGAAGATATTCCGTATTTTTTTGTACCTTGATTCCTTCTTTTTAAAATTGTCAGCAATCTCTTCTTTGGCTCTGTCCATTGCTTCATAAATATATGGCATAGCAGGTTTAGAGTCACCATCTACAAGTCTTAAAACTTTTACAAGTGGACTCATAAGGGATGTGGTCAAGCAAATAGTGTGGATCATAATATAACAAGATTTGGACTCATAATACTAATACACTGTATATATAGTGTGGATCATAATATAACAAGATTTGGATGTGGTCACTTGCAGAAGGGTTAGCATGGCATCTATTGGGAAAAAATGGCAAAAAAATCCTTTTGAGGTGGTTTAAACAAAAATTTGGTTTTTTGATAGGGCATAGTGGCATCATGCATTCATGCAGCTGACTCTACTTAGTGGGATAAGATGGTTGTTGTACTATTTGATTAGCAAGACATTGGATTTTGTCTTGTGGATAATGTACATTGTCCTTGAGTTTTATATGACTTCAAGTTGATGCTTACTGCGTCCTTACTTTATAACAATCAACTAGCATTGGCTTTATATATATTGCTTATGTGAATTTTTATTTAAATAATGCAATTACTTATTCATTTTTTCTGCCCTGCTTTTTGTTATTGAAATGAAGGACTGGGTGGTTATAAACCTTAGGAAAAAAAACATGTTGCTGAAATCTACCAAGATGGTTGCTATTGATTGTGAAATGGTTCTCTGTGAGGATGGGACTGAAGCAGTAGTGAGTCTCTGTGTGGTTGACCGCAATTTGAAGGTATTTTGTGCCTGCCCCTTCTCTTACTCTCCCCATTTATATGGAAGCATGGTTGGCAGGTTTTATTCTTGTCTGAGACTTCAATGTTGTACTTTTGAATTAGTATTTCCTTTTTGGAGCTTAGCCAGCTGAACTATTTAGTAACTTTACGCATTGACTTTTCAGGTTATACTGAAAAAACTTGTACGCCCAAACAAAGCAATTGCTGACTACAGATCAGGGATTACTGGTGTCTGTCCTCAGGATCTTGAAGGTGTCACTTGCTCATTGGCTAACATACAGGTAAGATGCTGTTCACTTTATGCATTATCTTTATCATGCTTTCAAGTGCTTAATTGAAAGTATATGTTGTTTTTTCAACAGAATTCCTTGAGAATGATGTTACTGGATGGAACAATATTAGTGGGACATAGTTTGCATAATGATTTACGTGGTAAGCATCATGATGTTTATATTTGTTTGGTTCTGTCTGAATCTACCTCCGAGTTTGGTGTATATGAAGGGGGCATTGCCTCTGAAATTCTTTTCCTTGGTTACAAATCATCGACTAATCTCTTTTGGTTGCAGCACTGAAGCTAGATTATGTTAGAGTGATTGATACTTCATATATCTTCCAATACTCTGATGGCAATATTCTCAGGAGACCTTCTTTGAATGCTTTATGTAAGGCAAGTATGAAGTATATTTTTGTGCCAAGGACAAGATTTGTATTGCATGATGCCTAGTTTATGAAACAGTATTATGATTTGCTAGTTGGTCCATCTTTGGAGGGATTCCCTATGGTACATTTGTCATCTATTTTTGGCAACGCTTATTTATAATGTTGAGAATTTCCAGCAAACATGGATGATGTTAGATTCACATTTAGTCACCAACTGTGTTTGGCAGGCTGTGTTAGGCTACGAACTTAGGCAAACAGGTGCTCCGCATAATTGTGTTGATGATGCAATGGCGGCAATGAAACTTGTTCTTGCTAAGATAGAGCGTGGTGTGGATAATGCGATTCCCTTGGCTCAAGAGCCCGTAAGTCTTTGTGTATTAGCATTGGTATACTGATCTTATGGTTGGTTGTAACTTTTTGGTCCTATTATCGTACTAATTTTGCAGGTTCAGGTTCCTCAAAGCGAAATGGCTAAACTTCTTCTTCACAAGATATCATCTGGGGTTACTAGTGAAGAACTGTATAAAATTGTTCCTGGGGACTTCATTTTAGAACTGAGGGTAGATTATGTCCTCTAAATATCTCTACTTTTTTATGGAAGAGCTTGACTTGTAATTATCAGAATGAGAATGTTTTCTATTTGGCACCATTTAGATCATCCTAACATTATGGTGCTTTTTATCAGCCTTGAGTTGTTGTGACTTGTGAATTCTGCTGCAGCCGCCTAAAGGGAACAAATATTCTGCCCTCGCCATCTTCAAGAATCCGCAAGAGGCCCATGAGGCCTTTGAAAGTCTCCAAGGCAACCAAGAAAAGGTACACATAGTTCTATTCACATTTGCTTCTTGTTAGTGCAAGGTAATGCTCGACTGTGGTGTGCATTTTAATGCACCAATGCATTTGTTGGATGTCCTCTTTTTTTATTTCCCAACACTTGATTTATTTACTAGTTTTTATAAATCTTTTAAAGCCCGTTTGGTATGCTGGAATTGAGAGGGTGGAGATGGAATCCAGGTAAATTGCATTTTTGGTTCATTCCACCAAAATTGATCGGACTGGCTTCCTTATGGGGGAGCATGGAAATCCATTTCCACTATTCCTTGGACCATGCGGGTGGTCATTGGTGCCTTGCTGTGGCCATGGTCATTGATGCTTCAGTATGGCCGCTTGTGGCCTAACGATGGTCGCCAGTGCTTCATTGATGCTTCAGTAACAAGGGCATTTTTCCCTTTCGGTAATATATATTTAATGAAAATTTTATAAAGAATTCCATAATGATGCCCAACGCATTTTTAAACCCCTGTCCATATCCATCTCTATTTTTATCAAGATCAGTTCCAGCATGTCAAACGGGGCAATATTTGCATGGATAAGAAACTTTCAGTGAATTGGCATTGCGGTTACTGCTTGCTTGTCATGGAAGCTGTGCTAATGCAACATGTTTTTGAACTAATATTGTGCAATTATTATTTATTGACAGGATTCATTTGGACGTCCACAGAAACATGTCACATTCAAACTCAAGGCAGGTGTAAATGCCAGTATATTTGTTCGGAAAATGGCACCTGATGGCCCCAATGACTCTAAGAGAGCTTTAGAAGCGGACGAAACAACAGTGTTGAAGAAAGCAAAGATGGATCCCGAAATTGAAGGGAGAGTCTCAAAGAAAACAAAGATGGATCCAGAAATTAAAGGGAGAGTGTCGAAGAAAGCAAAGATGGATCCTGAAATTGAAGTGAATGCCACGGCCATCTCTAATAAGTGCGACTGCGACACCCACTTGAATGAGATTGAAGCACTAAACCAACGGCTGAAAGAAAATGATTTGGAGATTGAATCGCTGAAGCAACAGTTGAAACAAAAGGATTGTGAAATCTCCATATTGAATAAAATGGTATCTTCCTTGAACAAGAAATTAAGGAAATGATACGGCCTTCAGGTGAAACTTATGGTTTGCTTAAAATTATTTGGAAGATGCTCTGATCTTTAACACAGGGATCACCAAATGTGGGTTTCAGAAAACATGCGGGTTCTGCCCGTGAAATTTTGGGATTGAGGTTTTGTTGTACTCTAACACCGTATTTTTTATTTAATTGCGATTCTGATTTATGGCTTTGACACGTGTAAATGGAATATGAGACTATAGCCTTGACCATATCGAGAACAAAGCATCCTTCCAATCTCTCGTGTCCGGACTTTTGGCTCAACTAGGTGAAATATCTTGAGGACCTGGAAGATGACAGGTAATAGCATATGTGGAAATTAACACGCAGCTTGAACAGGATGTGAATTATATAATAGCACTAAATTTGGTCAACATATACAAGGAAAATGGAATAAATATTGTAATTTCCAGTGCGTTTGCCACTAATTATGACTCTTTTTGGTAGTTCAACTAGGTGCGAAATCCCGAGCAATCTAGTAATTCCGAAGAATTGATCTCAGTCGCCCTCAATCGCTTTCAAAATCTTCATCTCCGAAAGAAAAAACTGAAGCATCGGCTGCCATGGCCTTGATCTCATTTGCCTCAGCGTACTCTATTTTAGGGCTCCGGGGAGTTCTCTGAATTTTCGGACTATTTGATCCTTCTTCGTAAGCATTATTTTGTATACGTTCTTGATGCTGGAGTGACAGCTGCTTTGTCCCTGAGGTCAAGGTTGCCTCATGGTCTGTAGTGGTATCAGATGCTTGATGACCTTCCCCGTCTCTGAAATCAGATGTGGCTTTAGTTTCCCTGGTCTTTGAATCTTTGGCTTCCTCTCCTTCACTATCTGAGAAGACGTCATCATCCCCGTTTGTAGGAACCTTGCTCTTTCTTGAATCAGAAGCAAGCCTCGGATCTGAAGCGGAGACATTTCCTGTGTTGCTACTAGACCCTTTGCTGGCGGGTTTGACTTTTGTACGAGGAGGTAGGGTGCCGTTATAATCTGCCATTACCACTTCGACCTGAAATCCGGGAGCAGGGATCTTTCTCTGGATGGCAAAGTAACAGTTTATTTTGGGTTAAATAAATAATTGCCAAGCAAAGAAATAACCAACAGGTGTAAAATGGGCAAGGACATGATCGTGAAAGAAAATTGCTTTATACCTTGTCAAAACCATCAAGATCCGAGGCGTCCAAGATTTTTCTGTTTTCTGTCATGGTTGTATTTAACCAACTGCCAGAAAAAGAGACATTTAAAAAACTGCTCTTCTATGTCTTCAAGAAAATTAATTTCCATATCCGGCTTGAAAGAGAGAAATAACACTCATAGTTCTGATAAATTTGAGTTCTCATTCACAAGTAATTGTGAGAGGCAGAGGCTAAGTAATTGGGGGTCAAGAGAAGTAGGTGCACTATACAAACCAGTAGAAATCTCCCTGTCCATCATTAAAATAGATTTTGAAGTCCCCAGCCAACTCCGTTAGACCAGGCTCCCCAGGCAATGCAAATACCACAATTCCTTTCTTCGGAATACTGATCCAAAAGTCTTCCGGCTACAAATGAGTTAAGGAGAACAATTCAAGAATTAAATACTGGCATTACCCTTCAATGCCTTTTTTTTTTCCGTTCTTTTTTTTTTTGGGGGGGGGGGGGAGAGTGGGAGTGGGAGTTTATCTGATCAAATTCTGTCATCCAAAATAACATGCTTACCATCAGATCCTTTGTTTTTGGATGCTTTTTTGTGGTGAAAAGAATTCCTGAGGATTAATGAAGGCATCAGCAAGGGGTTATAACAACTCGACAGATGACATTTCATCAAGACGAGCACAAACTTGCGTCCGCAGATGTAGGAATGCATGTCAATTGCATTAATATAGAACAGTTCCAAATTGAAAAATGTAGGCATATTCGAGGACTAAGTTAAGCATATGTTCAATTTCTAGATATAATAACAAAACAATATGATACATGGCAAAACCTTGAGAAAGCAAAACAGCCAAATGCTCCTCAGTTCATTCACATCATTACATCCAATAGAGGTGTCGCTGGGTTACCTGATAAACTTTGGTCAAATCCTCTAAGTACCCCGTGTTCTGATTCCCTAACTACCCCTGCCCTTGATTTCATGTGACACAATGCATCAACATGGACTCGAAGCTTTTAAGATTCACAAGCTACTTGCACACTAGTTAGGGTTCTAATGCGTGATTTGTCCACCGGGCCAATGAAACTTAAAGTTTAGTATGAAGACAAAAGGGCAATCTATGATACTGTAGTTCTAAAATTAAGTGTAAGACTCTCCTAAGATTGTGCTCTCAAGTTTAATAGGAAAACTGCGCTGAAAGTGGGACTAAAGCTAACGAAAAGCTCAAACTATTCATCTTCTATATCTCTTTCGTTTGTGCATTGTTTAATCAGATATTTTTAAACATCTTTTTGAACTCTGGTTTTTATACTTTATATTAATTTTCTACTCAAGGGGCAAGTTCAAACTTGTGGGAATTTTCCACCTCTGCTTTACTGTAGTTCAATGTGCGATCGGTTTCCATAGATGATCTTCCGAATATAGCTTCAGAGTATGACAAAGAATCACATGAAAATAATGTACAACTACTTACCAGTATGATCAGAAATCGTAATGGAAGGCCTGATCCAATAAGGGCATTTGTGAAGCCGAAATCCTCTTAGCATGCACCTGTAAGATTCTAAGGTAAGAAATTAAAAAGCTTTGGTACATTGTGAAAAAAAGTACATCTTACCTCCGTCCAGGCTGAACCTCTCCTTTGAAGTGTGTTAACGTCCGTTCAAAGTATTTGACATACCTCTAGAAAAACCACAGAAACATTTAATCAGGAAAAAATGTCTAGAAGACGTCTTAAACAACATAACAAACTCGTAGTAGTAGTAGTAATAATAATAAGAAGAAGAAGAAGAAGAAGAAACAGACAATCTGACTAGGAAGAACTAGAGCTTTCCCATCAATGCATCTTTTCTGGTTAAAGCAATTAATGGCCTCCTCAGCAGTTGGGAAGAACTGCAAAATTACTGCTGAAGTTATTGACAATCAATATACGCAATGCATAGAAACAAAAAATGTAGCCAGTAACAAAGACTCCCAATCTTTTGAGACATATAAACAAAACTTGCCTTAAGAAACAAAAGAAGGCTACAAATCATCACCCCTGTTCTCCCCATGCCAGCTTTACAGTGAACAACTACCACATTTTGAATATCCTCCTTTAACCATGAATATGCACTTCTACAAAATGATGCTATAAGTTCAATAGGAGGGCAATTATGATCATCAAATGGGAAACTTGCAGCCTGAAAATAAAGTCAAGAGATTAATAGGGCAAGCATGGATCATGCCATTGTACTTCGATGTACCAATAATGACTCAATTAGTAGCATACAAATATTGTCTATATATTTGATACTTTCTTATTGACAGCACAGAATGATCCCAGGGATATAGAAATTCACAAACAAACCGAATTGGAAATACGGGATGCCTAGACAAAGTTTATGATTTTTATGAGCAAAATTGTGCATAATTAAATACTAGTCTATTGATGTTATGACTGAAACCTGAACATGCATATATTGAACCATTGAATGTGGAATTTCTGATATTTACTCTGAAATAAATAAGCAGAAAGCAAGAAAGAAAGAGAAGCCAAAATAGCGTTTCTATGCGTTTGAAAGGTACATTAAGGCCATAAAAGTAACCGATGTAGAGAAGGGTAACACGACAGCGGATGCAGCACGAGCACTTAATTTGATATAAGACTAAGTCGATTAAAACAATCAAACTTGATATCGAGTACATAGAAGAATATGCGCTTAATGCAGTAGAGAAGAAAGTGTAAATGATAGGTCCTAGAAATCTCACACGATCATCCAGATCCATATGACTAGGTTGTCCTCTGTGTGTGTGTGTGTGTACCAAGATATCAATTAGAGTGCTAAAATTAAAATTAAAATGGAATCATACCTTCCCCTTGAATAGTGATGCATCATACAACCTCTCTGAGCAAAGATTATATACTTTGTACTTTCCCTGCATTCATCAAAGAAAAAACTTAAGCACTATAGCGAAGCAAAATGTGGAAAGAAGTTTACATAAGACTAGACCAGACTCTTTCTAGATATAAATGCTGAGGAAAGTCAAGAGTAAATGATTTTGCAGGTTATAGATGCTGCCAAAAGTTGAATTTGAGGCCCTGAATATTTCTAAAACTTTCTTTCTGTAACGGGATATTCTTTTTCCTCTGGAAGCTTTATCAAGAAGTTCCGTTTGAAAATTTGTCATGAACACCACTTAGGCCAAAACTATTAAGCACTGAAAAGTTCCAATGCATGAATTATATTCCTTTGCATTGTGAGAAAAGGGATTCTTCTTTCATTCTACTAAAAACAGGCCACGAATATATTCATTCTACTGATGTTATTACTACTCTTCAATAACACCTTTCATTGCTTAAGTTATTTTGGGTAATATTTTATTACTTACCTTTATCTTTGGCTACAAATCATATGTCATCCAGAGGCCACCCACTAAAGAAACCGAAAATGTTCCCGAAAGCCCAGCTCTCTTTATTTCATGACAAGTTGTCTAGAATCCATAAATCTCTAAGACATTTCTTTTTTTTCTTTTTGGTTGTTGGGTGAATGTAATAGGCAGACATTAAGACCTTACAATTGAAGCAGGTATATCTTACCTCATGACGAGTTTCGAGAAATCTAATCACTTCTTCCATGTGATTGCGATAGAAACCCTGTTCCAGAGCTCTCCTTTAAAATACATTGAGTGACAACCAAACAGAGCGAACTGAACATTATATGCAAGACAATATATAAATACATATAGAGATACCTCGATATATCCGAAAACTCCAGAGCTAGAATCACCAGCTGGAAATCCCATAGCAATTATATTTTCGGTAATGTATGCCAGATCCAAATCGAACTCTTCATCCTGTTATGAAGATCAAAGAATAAGAGATATATTTCAGTTGTAAACAACATCGCGCATCTTTTGGCCAAAAAAAAAAAAAAACAACATCACGCATCTGAGTCAGTTTTCCCAAAAACTTCAAAGATCAATTCATTACAAGTTGAGGGGGGTTTCATTTAGAACACTACTCAACAGATTCAACACAATGCTGTTAGTTGATAACCTATAGAGCATCACATATAGAATAGTATCGATGGAATTGAATTAATACCTATGCAGGACTAAATTCCATTTTCAATCATCAATCACCGCGTTTATTTTCCATGACACTAAAGGAAAACCAACATATTCTGAGTTCATAGGAATAAAAGCGGAAAGCTTCACTGTATTATGAAGGTATGATTAATCTACGTAAAACTTATGTGAATAGGCCCTCTCTGCTACTAAAATTTTTGTGTCTCTAGTTTATACAGAACTCTGAATTTAGATATGAGATGCTTTCCTCGAGCATAAGTCATATCCATGCCCTTGCAGGAAACAATTAACATGTCTAAATTTTGATGTATTGGATAAATTATTATTAGATTAAAAATAAGCAGTGCTAATACTGACAAGTGAGAGTAAAATTCAGTGTGCTCGACCTGATTAGGTAGTCAACGTATGTTTCATCAAAGAACATTCATAGGTATCAGTTAATTATTTTCAAAAGCTATCAAAATTACTCTCAACTACTGTAAGAACCCAAGAGCAGCGCATGGACGATGCAAGAAAACCATCTGAAGTTTTTGCGTAGCGTTCATAATTAAAACAAGACAAAAGCAAGCCAAAGTTAACAGCACTAAAAGTAGGATTGATATAACAAGCAGCTTGATTCAATCAGTACAAATAAGGCTATATAATCAGGATTTAGACAATGAAATATATGGGATTCAGTTGAAATAAGGGAAGCAGAGGAGCCACATCACATTTCAAGTCCAGCACTTTGGGCACAAGTTATAAAAGAAAAATTGTGCAGCACGTTAACCCGGACAGGAGAGCTAGAGATATTAAATAGTAGGATATTTAACCATGGCAATAATAAGATCGAATCAGGAGTATAGGTACTGTGAAAACTCACCTGGTATCTACGTTTGTTTTGAGAGACAATATGGCGTGCCTTCACCTGCATCTTCTTTACTGCAGTCTTTGATGAGTCAACTAACCCTTTGGTAAATGATTCAATTAAATTAGGCTTCTCAGCCCCTGAATCGACCGGAGCAGTCTCATTGCTAACAGATGGCATTGATAGCATTCGTCCAAGCCCACTGGTAAGGAAAGAAAAATTTGACATCCCAGTATCTCCAGTCTGGGAGTCTCCTTGTCTTAATCTAAAGGCCTGTGAAAATTTCAGATTTGTCACCGGGGATGATTTGTCAGTAGCCGATAATGAGGGTGCCGGGTTATGGGCATTGTCATTTTGTCCAGAAACATTGGTGGAATGATGCTCAATATTGGGAGCTGAATTGATAGGTTGAGATGATGAATCCGCTGATGCTGGCTCCATGAGTCACCCAATGCTGGTCCGGAAACCGGTGCAAATTAGAGTTGGAGCGCCGCGGAAATGGCTAGCAGTACAAGCAACAGGAAAAATTAATTAACCGACAACTATAAAAGAAGGCCGACAGTATAGCCCTGTGCAATTACAAGATGAACGCAATCCTGAACCAATAACGGCAGAAACTACGACCATCCTCTGTAAATTCATAAATGTTCCATCAACTTCTAATAATCCAATCTACGATAACCAAACGTGGACAGCACAATTTTCAGATAAATCATAACTCTCATATACGGATCCTGACTACCATTACTTGATAAGCTAGTTAATTTCATTCCAAGTTATAACTCAACCCGCATTAGTCATGAATGCAAGCCCTTGAAGCAGGCACCTACGTCACTTTCTCTGATGTACAAAAAGGGATCTGGGAAAAGATGCTTGAATGATACAGAATTAGATACATTCGCGTTATACATGAAGATACGTGTGAGAACCTCCATTAAAACTAAGCACACCTATTTGTAAAATGCTGGATGAGTGAATCGCTTACCAGCAAAGGCGAATGATTCGATCTCTGTTGCACGAACTATAATGAGATAAACGGATGCACGTGAATGCGGATCATATGATGTGGAGCTCGGGATTTAGATAAAAGGACGTTGCCAGTGAAGAGCGTCGAAGGCAAGCGACAATTCAACTTTTGCAATATGAAGAGGAAACGTGGTGATTTGCTTAAACTGGCTTGTCCTGTGCTTGCTTGGGCTGAGCTCCGACCTTAGAGCGAGTAGGTAATGTAAGCTACAGATAATCACGACGTATCTCATTTCATGACATATTACTTCCTTTTTAACAAAACTCAATTCTGTTATTAGAAAGTTAGCATGTTTTCCAATTAAAATAAAAATATTATAATTATCCATTTTTTGATATGAGAATATAATAAAGACGATCGATTAAAAATTATACAGTTATTTTTGTAATGCTTTACCACTCGTATTTCAGCTCTGTTAAAGTTTAATGGAATTCCATCATCTCTTTATTTGATATCACAACAGTGCGCTTTTAAGTCTAAAATTAAGGATAAAATGCTTAATGTTACGAAAATAAACCAATAAAAAAAGTAAAGTATAAAAAAGAGAATGGGAGTAGAATAGTAGTGGGAGTTATTTGATAAAATTAAACAGCAAGAAGGGATGAACATCTACATTGGTAATATTCACAACACTCAATTTTCTCTTATTTTTAGGAGATATATTAACTATAGACCATAAACCACTTGTGTTCAGAAATGCCTTCAATTTCTTTTCTTTTTTTGGGATATAAAATGCCTACCATTTGTTTGAAAAAGAAAAGCATTACCCTTTTCGGCCATCATAATAAAAAGAAAATTACCCTGAAAAATGTACTCAACCAAATACTGCAATTTTAGGCACGCGACCAATGTTGTTTGGGTTACAAAGTTCATGGGCTCAAGGAGGCCCAAATTTTAAAGATCAAAGTAAAGAAACTCAACTGGCCCAAGATATCGGGAGAATCAAAGACAATATATTTTTGTTTAAAAAAAACCAAACCGTCTTGTAGCAACAAAAAGGAAAAAAAAAAAAAAAAAGGGCCAAACAGCCGCAACGATGAACCATGTGCGATTCGTGACCCGGGAACGGAGGGATCTCGTACAATACCAGATGTGCCATCCGCGATAGTTTCATTTCTACGCAGGCACTAAGGGGAGAAGGAGGAAACAAACAAAGAAGCGCCTACCATTTTAAAAATAGCTACTGCTGGGCCTTCAATGGACGCGGGAGCAGCCGGCGCCGCCTCCGCCACCGATGATCTTCCGATGACGGCTGCCATATCTCGGTGGAAATTCGCCGTGTCCCGGCAGTATCAGTATCTGCTCGACAAAGCGACGCCGCATGTCCTCCACCGTTGGATCGCCTGCTTAGTCGTGGCCTTCATCTACGTCATCCGCGTCTACATCGTCCAGGGGTTCTACATCGTGTCCTATGGTCTAGGCATTTACATCCTCAACCTTCTTATCGGATTTCTCTCCCCCCAGGTTGACCCCGAGATCCGGGAAATCTCAGATGGTCCGTCTCTTCCCACCAGGGGGTCCGATGAATTCCGTCCTTTCGTTCGCCGGCTCCCGGAGTTTAAGTTCTGGTACGTTTTAGAACTCTCTCCCTTTTTTCCCTTCAATTCACCCTGTGGTTTTCGATTGCTGTTTGACATTCATGATTGACCGTTTAGGGTCTCTGAATACTTACTCGGAATGATTCTTAGCCAGATTCTTTCTTGACGTACTTATGGAACATTGCTGTGTGCTTGTTCTGGGTACAGAACCAGTTGATTTATAAAATTCTTGTTTAGGGTTTTGTACCAGTACAATTAATGGGTCGAGTTTGTGCATGATCTTTGCTTGGAAGTGTGAGCGTAGTGGTTCAAATTGAAAATTGAGAGTTGAGGCATTTGACGACTTGGACTTGCCTGCTATTAATTTAGTTTGTGATGGGTTCCTGACGCGATGTTTGGGGCGGGGAAGCAATTGGGGAAATCAGGATATTGTGTGGATCAATGTGCTTCGTCTGTAAGCCTGACTTTGTTTTATAGTTTTTTTTTTGTATCGCCATACCCATGAAGTTCAGCTCGACGGAGCTTTACCATGTCTTCTGTGGTTTTTTTTTTTTTTTGGTTGGTTACTAATGTGTTATTTATGGTATAACTTTATGTTTGGCCCTGTGAAAAGGCCTGTGGAAAAATTTATTTGTTGGTTATTAATGTTGCTCGTACTGAAGCTGCTTAATTTTCATTTGTTGCAGGTACTCGATTACAAAGGCATTTTGCATTGCGTTTGCGATGACATTTTTTAGCGTATTTGATGTACCGGTGTTTTGGCCAATTCTTCTCTTCTACTGGGTAGTCCTATTCTCGCTTACCATGAGGAGACAGATATCTCACATGATCAAATACAGATATGTGCCATTCACATTTGGGAAACAGGTAAAATGTTTGCTGTTTTTAGTCGTCACAGATGTGGTGTTCGTTACTGAGCAGTATACGTTTTAGATCATACATGTTACTAATTATGGTTTTGTTTTCATTATTTTTATTCAGCGCTATGATGTAAAGAGAGCAACGGCAGAGAGCTCAACCCTTCTTCCTAGGGACTGAATCCTTCAGGTTGATTGAACTTTATTTGCTTCATTTAAGTGGCAGACCCACAAGTTACTTGATTGCATATGCAGTATTCTTTGAACAGCTGGAGCAATCTGAGTTTATTATGCCTGACTACCTCGAGGACGGGTTTGGGCGTCCTGGATGTGCAACTTTCAGTTGAGCACTGATGTGCCACCTGGGAAGATTCTACATCCGAGTGAAAGATCTAGTTTTGGGGAAGGAAAAGGGTTGCTGAAGGCTCTTAACCCTTACCCCTAGTTTTCTTTTAATATTTACCTTTTTCTAATTTCTTGGATTTCAATATAGGTGGGCAATTGCCATACTCCTTTTGCTGAATTCCTATTTAAATGACATGAAATTCTATTAAGCCTGTGTAGAAGGTCTCCCTGTCATAATTGCAATGAATTTATAGTTATAGTGATCGATCTATTGCAATGAAAGTAATTTTGGCCAATCTGTTTTGATAGCTGAACTGCGTTGCCGCTGCTTCTCATAGGATTCATTTTTCTTGATATTATTCTTTCTGTTATGTCAACCTACTATCCATATGGAGGAAACATGTGAGGACCTAACCCTACTGTTAAGACTTTCAAACCATCATAAACAAATTGAACCCCATAAGAATCACTGAAAAAGTCTATATTTTTACTAGACACCCGAAGAAAGAAAGAGAAAAAAGTGCAATTGCTCCCCTTATAATGTTTTACAGTGGAAGTAATCAAATAAATAATTCAACAATGTGATTTCAACCTCCCCGTATCCAATCAGGATTACACAAACACTCAAATTCCTGGTTGTTTAACTTGGTCTAAAAGAATGGCAAACCCAGACGATGCGTTGATGAAAGCGAATTGAAGGAAAATGACTAGCCGCCAGGTCTGTAATATGCGTATATGGTGTAATATGTTTGTGCAAAAGTCATGCGCAACAAAACCACGGCAGCAACCAAAGAAATAATGGCCCAAGGATTACTAAAGTAATTATGTTTTAAGCTAGCGCGCCAAGTATTCCATCTGTGATCGTAATACCGATTCACAGCCTCCGACAACGGCGAGAGGTAGCTGTTATTGATGTCAAACACAACTTCTTGGCACAATCGATTAAAAAGATCAGCAACTTCAGCGTCACTCCCAAGCCAATGCTCTATAATCCCACAGTAATGAAGATACCCCACATCCTCCGGAGAGTTAATCAGATTGTCCATGAAGACCGCATACGAGGTAATATCATTACTGCAATCTAGATGACTCTGCTCGAATGCAATAAGGTTTAAGAACAGAGACTTGGTGCCATCATGAATCATTAACCTGGGCATCCTCAGAATCCCATTCTTAAATTTTATATCCCAGAATCGATCAGTCTTCCTTTTCCTGAACTTGATTCCGGCCTCTTTAAGCTCCGTCACGCAATGTATAAATTGTTGTCGTCGTTTGTCAGCAACTCTATGAGAATGTGACCATCGTTTGATCCAAACTCTGGGTGATCTTTGAGGCCCGTACGCAATAGACTTCTCCGAAACACATCGAGACAGTGAAGACCATCCTGATCACCTAAAGGGTCAAATGGGGTGGTGCTTCGAAGAGACGATTCCAATTTGCTTATGTCACTTTTGGTCAAAGGTTCATCTGTTGGCATCAATGGGTCGAAGAATCTGAGTGCTAAATTCGCAACAAGCCCCTTCAAATTTGGGTCACCGATCTGAATCCCCAGAAGACGATCTAGCACGAACAACGGAAGCTGATTCTCCAGCATTATCATGTCTCTCTGAATCGAATGCATGGACCCACGCATCGCGAAAATGGGATCGTTTCTGGAATATCCTAGTGTCTTGAAACCCTCTGTGGCTCCCCTGAACAGCTCGAGCACGAAGCAACCATCAAGAGCCAACATTTCCACGAACTCGTTGCTGCTTAGACTGATGGGTCCTTCATAACAGGACCTTGCTCTTTCTTCAATCTCTTTCATGGAGTCAAGGTAGAGCTTTATGTCATGGTTGGTTCGCTTAAGAACGTGCTGAAGTGAACGCCATTTGTGACGATCCATTTGGCGAAGTCGTCTTTTGCCATGGTGATACGGACCCAATGACACGATCTGGGGTACAAAAGCCTTGTCGTCGCCCCCACTTTCTCGTAGGTAATGGGGAATTTTGTAGATTGAGATTTTAGACCATGAGCTTTCTGCGTCATCTTGACGAGCCTGATCGAGTTTTTCCTTTATGAAGATGACCCATTCAGAATCTGGTGATTTTTCCTCTTCAACGTCGATGGGAATTTGTAATGATTCTGAAGGTTTCTGCTCTGGGAACTCAATGGATCGGGTACCCGAAGTTGGAAAAGATGGGTTTCCGGGTCCTATAGTTTCTTTGAGCTTAAGGGTGATAAGGTACCAGCTCAAGAGATCTTTGTTGAATACGGCGACCATCTTTGTCAGCCAGTGGCTTCAAGGGCTTAGTTCACGTGATAAAAATGGAGGAGGAGGCTAACTTTATGTTGCCAAAAAGAGTTGGATATTTTATTAAGTAAAATTGTTTAATTGACCTGAACAAATTTTGCAGCATATATTCATACTTCTCCGGTTCTAAACGTAAAACTCTTACACATATTAGTATAAGACTTTTAAATTTAGGACTGGATGAGTATTTCATTAATGAAGTGAACAGCCTGCTGCCTCTATTATGGAATATAAATTGGCATCAGAGGATGATAATTAGCATCTTCAAGAAGCACACGACCAAATCACTTCCTAAGCAATTTTCTCATAAATTTTGGGGATTATGTTCACACTTTCTATTTTTCATACCACTCACATCATACTTACGTACCTGACATTTTCATATACATACAATTGACTTGATTATTGGCCTTTTTCTTGGAAACTTGGGGCATAAGCAATACAAGATTTTTATAGTCATTATCAGTACGTCAATGGTAGTGTAAAAAATTTATAACAAAGACATTAATGTGCATATGAAATATCAAATTTATGACAAAAATACTATTAAAAAAAAAGAAAAAATAGCAAATAAAGACCCTTAATATATGAAATTGCAATTTGGGGCTCTCAATTTGAAAAATGGCAAAACAAAGGCCCGGTTTCATATTTCAAATATGAAATCTTGATAAAATGTATGAAATGCCCTCAGTAAGTTGTGATTTGGTCTGCTAAAGTTATCATTCATTAAAGTGAACTTGTCATTTCTCATAGTCAACTTATCATTTGGCATATCCTTAGCCAAGTTGTTATTTGGTCTACTGAAGTTGTCATTCACTAAAATGAACTTGTCATTTTCCATAGTTAACTTGTTATTTGGCCAAGGAGCATTTCACCAAGACTTCACATTTGCAATATGGGACCGAATCTCTATTTACTATTTTTTAAGTTGAGGGTCCCAAATCGTAATTTTACATATTGGGAGGTTTTTATTTGCTATTTTTTCTTTAAAAAAAATGTGAAAATTAACCAATTTCTCAAATTTAAATTGAAAATAGAGGGTCAGCTGAAAAATAAAGAATTCTGCACATGCCAGGTCCCATTTATTAATAATTGAGGAAGGTGGGTGGATGAAGTGACGGGGAACGTGAAAGCAATTAACATTTAAAATTATATAATAATTCCAGCGTGTCTTCTTCGTTTAAAGGCTGAATTAACTTCAAATGACCATAATTAAATATTTAGTTTGTGATTACCCACGCTTGCAGGCGTGTGATGAGAAGAGGAAAGGAAACGTAACAGCACAATAGATACTTCGATTATAAATTTTACTATTTTAGATGTCCAATCTCTAAAAAGATGTGAACCGTTTGTTTGCTGCAACGGGAAGGGACTCCAAGTTCCACACTTTTCAGCTATATATAAACAAATTTCAACTTTCCAAAATAAAAGTATTACATAATAAGTTAGTTAAGCATACATCTAATTCATTAATCACCAAATAAACGTTTTCTTTGTTATGGTCAAATCCTTCTTTTCTTTTTTTTTCAAAAGCATCTAATAGTTAATACTTTAACATGCCTTAGCCAATTAGAAATTGTTTAGTATGCGTAATAAGATTATAAAATATAATTTTGAAAAAAAATGTTTTATTCTAATTTTAAAATTATAAAAAAAAAATCAAATACTTGACTATCCAACTAATGATTATAGAAACATCAAAGAAAGATACTCTTCCGGTCCTGAATATAGGACTCAATTCTTGAGTTGGTTTTGGTTTTAAATATAAGACTCATTTCTCATATTTATCATTTTTCTTTAAATTACCCCTATGGATACTCCCTCAGCCATAATCAAGTAGAAGAGGGAGAGAGGGTATTAATAAAGATGATTATGATATTTTAGGAAAAATGTGTCACTTTTCTTATAATTAACTAATTTACCTAACTTCCTTAATCTAATCAAATTAATTAAATGGGTCTTATATTAAAGACCGGAGGAGTATTACAGAGAGAAGCATAAAAAACTATTGTTGCTTCCAGCATGTCCGACGAGCCAATAGTCTCAACAGAATCAAGAAATAAATAAAAACTAATCATAGTGACATAAGCTACAGCATGTATTATTCATGCCTGTGTTGACTATAGCATTTTTGCTAATTAGCAAACTAAGTGTATGCATAAAACTTTATCCTTTCCATAACTAAGTAAACCTCATCCTCTTGGCCGAAGGAGGGGACAAAATTAGCTCTTACCATTAAAGTCCGTTTGGGCCTCTGGTCAATAAAATATCAGAGTCAACTAATGGAATCCCAATGACAGACCCTTGTCCTCTTTGCTTTGCTCCCTTACTTCAATGTGATTATTGAAAGATCACCTCAAGCCAATTATAATCCAATATTTGAGCTTTTGATCTAATGGATAAACAATTAGGAAAATAGCAGTTTGATACTTTCCTAGTTCTCTTTGCATCAATCATGTGCCTAGAGTCATTGATTTAGAAGAAAGTACAAATAGTATGTCAAACTTGCCACCTTGAAGAACAATTTGAGGTACAGAGTCCTAGGAAACCAATATGAATATGTAAGGACGTTGCTGTACATAGAGCTAACTAAGGATCTCAGAATAAACATTCAAACGAAGTAACATCCTCAAGCGGCAACCACAATAACAGACTTCCAGGTTTAGTCCTTATGTTCATGAATCTATATACAGTAACCATAATATCAATGAGCACACCTAAATTGTCCTTTAGTTAACTTAAAAGACTATCCCTGATACAGTGAGCAGAAGGTAGCATAAACATCAGTTTCTTGCACCTTTTAGTACTCATTCCTCTTCCATGTCCAAAAGGGATAATGCTGAAGCAGAATGCAAATCAAACACTGCTGATCTTCATTTCATTACTTCCGTAAGTTGAAATAGGATTTGCAGAATTAAGGCCGTTCTTAACAGGGTACAAGGCCTCCATTGCGATCCCACATTTGCCAGTAAAGGTGCTTCGGACATTACGTTCTATCTTCATATAACCATTCTCACCCCAGACAGTTCCCCAGGAGTTCCTCACCAGCCAATAATCCAGACCATTTTCAGTACCATATCCCACAATAACCACAGCATGGTTTATGTTTGTCCCACATTCACCAGTGAACACCCCCTGCATATAATAAAAACACATTGTTAGTCATCGCCCTCAAATCTTAGGCTTGTTGTTCAATAGTTCACTGTCTTCTCAGAGAATTCACCAGTGACATCATGTTAAGAGATTAGCAGAGATAAGATACTCCTATAATTCTATCCTATGTCCTAAGTAATAGGTAAAATCAGACAAGAAAGCCCTCCATTTTATCAATTATCTAGAGACATCGCATCAGTTTGCAGAAAGCACTGCTAAACTAATGATAAAGATTACATGTTCTTCTCTTTTTTAGTTTTACCAGATACTAGGAAGGTAATTTAGTAAGCTTACTGAGTGATAGAGCTGGAAATCCCGGCCAGTGGCTTCAATACCAACGCTAACAGGCTGATGAGCTACGGCTTTCTTCAACGCATCCTCATTAAACGGTGGAACGCGCTCGTACCCATCAATTTTCACCACTCTAGCATTCTTCTGCATCAGGACAATAAAACAAGCACCACCAAAATTAATCAGAGAACGAACCGAATCGACCATAATGATCGACACTTGCTCAATTCGACATACGAATACGGACCTTCATTGGATCGCATTTGCCATCAATGCCCAGGTATGGGTAGTCATCTTCTGAGTCGATGCCGCCATTTTTGACGATGAAGTCGAAGGCGTAGCGCACAAGACCTCCGTGGCAACCATTGTTGTGGGATTTATCGCAGTCCACAAGCTCTTGCTCTGACAAAGAGACCAGGTCGCCTGTGACAATCTTGTTGATCGCTTCCACTGTGGCCACTGTTGAGAACGCCCAACAACTTCCTGCTCACATCAAGGATCAGCGAAAATGTCAAACGGTCTGGGCTATATATATATTGGACCTCCTTAGCCCAAAAGTATGAAAATGTCCTCCAAAATTGACCAACGGGATCATCTCAGATTATTTTATTAATCTAACAGATTGCTGGTAAAGAAAAGAAAAGAAAAGGGTCTGAGATAGAACTGACCACAAGATCCCTGGTCTTTGATTGGAGTAAGGGCAGCTTTCAACCTCCAATCTACATGTGACGGCAACTTATCACCGTCGTTTAAAGCATAACGACGAGAGGCACTGTTGGCCTTGACGACCCTGCGCTTAGGGTCGCTTACAGTGCCCAGGTACATGGTTGCATATTCGTGGTTCGTCAAATCAGCAAAACCATTCAACCCAAGTTTATAGGTGTGGTTTTGAGAGTTATGGTCATCTATATATTTGAGATTGTCCTTGAAAATCTTGAACCTCCTAAGCTTCTCTCCCAATCCATTACTGTTTGATGCTTTTCTGTGTTTCACTAGCCACTCCTCGTATATGCTCATGACTTCCTTGTCGCTTCTGGTGGCCAAAGATGAAGTGAATAGAAGGAACGAGAAGAAGGTGAGTATGGGCATGGCAGGATCCATGGTTGGTAATGGAATGTGGAAGAAGAGTGAAAGAGTATCAACGAAAGCTTCAAGAGAAAGGGTCTGATCAGAAGAGAAGGCTTTGTCGCTGAAGAGGGCTGGTCAGTGAGGATAAGCGGAGGAGAAAGTTAGTTAATAGGGGACTCATCACTGGTGGGTTTGACAATTTGGAAGATATCACCACTCGTAGGACAAGGTAGAACGGTCAAAACATTTCTTCCAAGAAATTTAATTCATCATGAAGAATCGATTGTTTTTTAATCATTTCCCAGTTTCTCTCCGAAAGCTTTTTGATTTCCATGAGCAGCTCGAAATCATTAACTTTTTACAGTGCATTGAATAGATTTTTAATTATTAATATACATATATTACTATAACATAAGAAATTCTGAGTGAGGTTGGAATTGATTAAAAAAAACAAAACAGGGAGAGATCAGCTCATTTAACATGTGAGACTTCTCACTTTTTTTTTGTTTTTTTTTTAATCTTATGAAATTTACTTGCCATCCTACCCGAGCAGACTGCAGAGCCATTAACTTGGACGACTGGGCTTGTTTGTCACTAGCCTATAACCATTCAGAGGAAGAAACGGCATGCCGTTTAGTGAATGAGCTTCCAGTCGTTTTATCAAGGGAAGGATTTCCTAAACCCCACTTTATCGGAGACGTAGCGTCATCGTAGTCTCCTGCTCAAGACCTTCAAAGAAAACTACCTACGGTAATACTCGTCCTTGGCGGCGATGGGTTGCTTGGGGATGCCCATCGTGTGCCCATGAATTTCAAACCCCTCCCTGTTCCCCTGTTCTCTCTTCACTGTTTTCATCGTCTCAATAGGTATTTCTCTGCAGCAACCCCTCCTCTAATGGATTTTCCTCTTGCCAAAACCCCAACTCAGATCCCAACTGATTCTCCCTATTCAAATCTCGCCGAAGAACCTGACAATCTTATTGGCTCTGATCATAATCAAGACGAAACTCGACAAGAGCCAGAATGTCCACTTTATGCGCCAGATATGGGGACTTCTTGCTTGGATTCTTCGGCGAGGTGCTTGACAGGTGTTTCTCGGGTCGAACGCGCCTGGGCTTATTGGACTAAGTTGGGTCGACCCAAGTACTTAGTCGCCCCGATGGTTGATAATTCGGAACTACCCTTTCGAATGCTCTGCCGCAAATATGGTGCCCAGGCTGCGTATACTCCTATGTTGCACTCTCGCATTTTTACCGAGACCGAAAAGTACAGGAAAGAAGAATTCACCACTTGCAAGGTAATTTGATATTCATCTGACTGCTTATGTCAAAGGACTTGCTTGATGTTCCGTCTGGCTACGCGATTTATTTGCATTACTTTTTTTTTTTTTTCATAATATGGGGGTAACTGCAGGAGGATCGACCATTGTTTGTCCAATTTTGTGCGAATGACCCTGATACATTGCTGGACGCCGCGAGGAGGGTTGAAGCGGATTGCGACTATGTTGATATCAATCTAGGGTAAGTGATCTTTTGCGTACTATTTACTCAAAAATCTACTTTGTGGTTATTGTATTTATTATTCATTCCACTGTTCAGCCAGAGTACATATGGTTCCACAATGAGCTGTTTCTCATTGAAGTTACTTGGTAGGACCGTAGCATGGGAAATGGAAATAAAGGGGAGTCTGCTAAAGCTGAAAAATAGGCCTAGACATGCTTGAAATCTAACGCTTCGTGTTTTGACTCCTTTCAATTCGTAATCCAAAAGATGGGTTAGGTTTATGTCTCTGATCCGAGGAATTAGCCCTTCCAAAGGTTTTGCACGAGTAAAATCAACAGTTATCAGCAGCATTATTTGCTTGCACTCTCCCAATTTCAGTAACATAAAGTTAATGATGTCTGAAATATTAATGAGAGAATACAGAGAAGTACCTAACCTGGTGCCTGTATTGAGATGATCAGTTTGATTTGCTTAGACTGAGATAACAGTATCCATTTTGTATTTTATGTATCCTATATGGTGTATGCTTTGACTTTCCTAATCAAACTTTTGGTGGAATTATGCGGTTCTGTAGGTGTCCTCAGCGCATTGCTAGACGAGGAAATTATGGTGCCTTCCTAATGGATAACCTTCCTCTTGTAAAATCTCTAGTGGAAAAATTGGCTCTCGACCTCCAAGTACCTGTATCATGCAAAATTAGAATCTTTCCAAACTTGGAAGATACATTAAATTATGCTAGGATGCTAGAGGAGGCTGGTTGTTCGCTTTTAGCTGTCCATGGCAGGACAAGGGATGAAAAAGATGGAAAAAAGTTCCGAGCTGACTGGGAAGCCATCAAGGCTGTGAAGAATGCTGTTAAAATTCCAGTCCTTGCCAATGGGAACATCAGGCACATGGACGATGTTCGTGACTGCTTGGAAGAGACAGGAGTTGAAGGGGTGATGTCAGCTGAGACTCTGCTTGAAAATCCAGCCCTCTTTGCTGGATTTCAAACTGCTGAATGGGTGACGGGGAGTGAAGTGGCCAGTGTGGATGGAAATCTGGACCAGGCAGATTTGCTTGTAGAGTATCTAAAGCTTTGTGAAAAGTACCCTGTTCCATGGAGAATGATCCGTTCTCATGTTCATAAATTGTTGGGAGACTGGTTCAGCCTTCAGCCTCACATTAGAGAGGATCTTAACCAGCAGTCTAGACTGACTTTTGAGTTTCTTTATGACATGGTCGATCGGCTTAGGGACACAGGTACGAGAATTCCACTTTATCTCAAAGATAAAGAAACGAGTTCAGCAGTAAATGGCCAAACATACTGATACGGCCGAAGGCCAACAAGCGGCTCAGATTTAAATTAGAGCCCCATAGTTTTTACTCGTTATGCGGGAAGATTACTCATTCTCTTCAGATGCAGTTTTGTAGCGTTAACAAATCACGTTGTTTCAAAATAGGAATTTTTCCATGTTGTAATTGACTTCATTCTTAAGTTATTTGACAGTGTTGTACCCGTAATAGCGTCAAGACACCGGTTTTTGTACTGAGCTAACGCATGTGATTGGCCAAGTCTAAGTTGGTTAAGATTTCTCTCTCTGCTTTTAGATGATTAATTGTTGAATTGGGATTTTGTTGGTTATGATTCTGGATTTGGCGAGAGCTGCAGCTTAGCGACTAGCGTATAACAAAAGGGAGTCGAATGGTTTCTGGTAGGATGCTGTGCAGTGTTACATGTCATACATAGCAGAAAAAACGTCTCTCTACTATTATACATGTTACTGACACTAATATTAGGCACTGGTATATCCACTCATGTAGAAGTTCTTTTTTAATGATTTTGATCATGTTTTCTGAGGTAATGATAACAAGGGGAAAAATCATTGAAGAAAACAACGTTTGCTTCAAATTTAAATTACACCTTGTCTTGATTGCAAAATGTATATGTCCTTGATTTTGTCCTTCGGGTGCCAAACAAATTAGCTTACTATGGTAAGCAATACCGATGTGCAAATCTGAGAAAAATAAACACCATTTTTCCTGCTCTTTATTGTGTCTTATTCCTTACTCTTGGGATCATCATAAATCGTATATATCTTGGATCCAGCTTCTCTCCGTTGCTTTTCTGTCCGTGACTTTACTGTTCGCTGCTCCTCCGCTACCCTGAAAATTACGACGGATGCAATGAAGGGCGGGCCGAAGGACTGGAGTAGAGAGGAGAGGCACTGAGAATATATATAATTTATTAATTATTAATAAATTTAAAAAATCCCAAAAAATAGAAAAATAAAAAGGCAAATTAACTGGGTGAAAAAATTGGGTTAAACAGCATCTAGCACCAAGTATTTTTATTGACTGCATCTAAAAAAATAATTTAATGTCTTGAATTTACTAAAAAAATATTTGCGGATACTAAAAATCATTTTAGGATATTAGGTATTATTAGAAAAAAAATATAAGGTAATGAATGGGTCAAAAAATTACATTAGGATGTTCAAAGCTATTAGAAAAAATATCCTAAAATAATTTTTATTACAATTTTAATCTTAAAATATTTTCTGAGTAGTAATGAGCACCATAAACTTGTGAGTGTTTCTTAGAAAATACTTTAGTGTATTGAATGCATTAAAAATTATTTTATGGTATTAAGAATTACTTTAAGATATTGGTCATTGAAAAAATAGTTTAGAATAAAATGCATTCAAAATTAGATTAGGATATTCAATGATGTTAAAAAACGCTTCAAAGTACTACTAAGAAAATATTTTTAAAAAACAAAATTGCTCTAAGAATCCGTATAAGATATGGGGTGTTATTAAAAAAATACTTTAAGGTAAGGTACTTGATCTGTCAAAAGTTACTTTATGATATTTAGTGCTATTGAAAAAATATTTAGTGTTAGATTTTATTTAACCCAACCTGTTTACCTAGTTAATTTGTTTTTAATAAATTATTTATATTATCAGAGCCATCCCTCCTCTCTGCTTCAGTCCTTTGGCGATCCCTTAACTACGTACGTCGTCGTTTTTAGGGCAGCGGACAGAGAAGCAGCATAGAGAAGCTGGACCTTATATTTTATCGTGATAATATTTACATCAAGTTTCTTATATAAATTGTGTCAAGTTTTTTAATCACGCATGACAATATGTCTTATTTTTAAAATATTATTCTTTTGATCTTTAATATAAGACCTATTTAACTAATTTAATTAGATTAAAAAGATTAAGTAAGTTAGTTAATTATAAAAAATATGATATATTTTTCCTAAAACACCATAGTCATCTTTCTTAATATCCTCTGTCCGTCTTCTACTTGATTATGTTTAATGGAATATCCATAGAGGTAATTTAAAAAAATTAATAAATATGAGAAATAAGTCTTATATTTAGGATTAAAATCAACTTAACAATTAATTCCTATATTAAGGACTAAAGAAGTAACATTTAATTATAAATTCTCATGAAATAAAAAAAAACACATGGCCATGTATTATTGAAAAAATTGGCCTAATAAATATAAGAAACTTCACCTGATTATAAATTCTCATCAACGTTGCCATATTTTCTACTCTACTAATCATCATTATCTCTTTCTTTTTTTCCCGTCAAGCACTCACTCTTGTTACTTCATCCGTTTCTTTTCGATTGTTGCTTTAAGTTATTTTTATTTATCTATCATTTTAAAAGTCTAAAACATTATTAATTACTATTTTTAATCATATTTTATTTTTACTAACTTCAATTCTAGGGTAAGTGAGATAATCAAGGGGAAAATAGATAAAGTAAATTAATGACATATTTAAAAATTTTAAGAGAAACTTTGACATTAATTATTGATCGATCACATGTATTTTTTTATTAAAAATAATTTTATCTGAGACAAAGTCAGATTTTGACATTAATTATATTTCTTCATTTGGGCGCTAAAACTTTCGATTAAAAATAAAAAAGAATGAAGTGATTAAAAAAAAAAAACAGAGAGTAAAAACTAAGGCTAATGACAGGCAAGGCGACAAAGCTTCTAGGAGCAACTTTGAGAGAAATAACTTGGCTTCTCCAAACCTTCTTCTGTTTTCGTCCCCCGGGGTCGAGGGATGACTGGCCACAGCGAAGGTTACACTTGGTAGCATACCAACAACGAGAAAAAAAGTATATTATCGAAGACCAAACAAATCTATATCATATTTATCATTCTTTTGTTGTTCTTACACAAAAATATTTTTAATTAATTTTTTTGAATTAAAATACAACAACCATTTCTCATCGGCTAGGTTCACTTCTTTTTTTCCCCCTTTTTGCCTTTTCATCCAATGCGTAATTGATGTCTTCTGAATAATCCGAGTTTTTGCATTGGCTTATTCATTTAATCAATTGGTAAGTTCACTTATGACTTAACCAACCATAGTGACGTAAAACTCAAGAAGCTTAGCTATTGCACCTAATCCTTGGCTGGGCTTTGAGAAGCCAACGTGACTACTGGTGCTGCTCAAAATCTCAATTCTTACCAATGGGATTGGGTCTAACGGAAAAGACTAGTCCCTCATAATATGGTGAATCAAAATTCGAATCTTGATTAAAAGAGGTACTCACATTTATTGCCTGATAGTGCCTCAAATAAGATTGTCTCCAATAAGAGGATACCTATACTTCAACAAAAAAATCTGAATTCTTACAATCTTCTTATCCCCACGTAGGCACTGCAAGTCTGCAATTGCTTATTAACGGTTGATCATAAAAATGCTGAATATTGACTCCTTTCCCTCTTATTCCTCAATGTAAATTAAGAACCAGTTTTGATGCTCATAAATTATGGAAGAAAATCCTATTTTAGTTTCCTATATACTCAAATATATATAGGATTTCAAATTTCAATTGTTATCTTTACTTGGATTTCACTTAATGAGTAAAATTAAACGATTGTGATGTGATGTGGGGGGACAAATTTAAAAGTGCAAACAGCAAATACACAATCTTTCTCTAAATTAAAAGCAACATTCTCAACTGAAATTTGAATGGTTGGATTCTTTGAAGAGATTACAATTTGCAGTGGAAGAAAAGGGAATGGAAGGAGGAGGAGAAAAAAAGAATTATTTTTTACAAGCCCCAAGCAATATTTGAACAAAATGAAGCAGCAACCAAAAGGATCATGATAAATACCCAGATTGACCTGTTTGTGACTAGGAGGACTAACTGAGTAACTTTATAGTAATAAGAGTCTTGACGGCAAACACTTGAAAAGATTAAGAAGACGAAGAAGATGACGAAGACTGGTTCTTACAGTACTGAACACTGTTCTCATCCATCCTCTCCAGCACGTAATGCCCCAGAGTCTCACTTTCCTCCACCAAATTCTGCTTACACAGAAACTCATTCCCATACAGCTTCTCCACTTCTCCACCAAAGTCATGCACAAATACGTGCGTCTTCGGATTCCCGCCTTTCTTGCTTCTGGCCAGCACTCCGGCGGTGAATATTGCCGCCATCCTTCCCGGCGCTTCGGGCCAATCCCCGCGTGGCCCGTCCACCAGTATCACGTCCCAGCTCAACTCGTACACATGGTTCGGAAGGTCATTGAGTCCCAGCTTACATTCTGAGAACAGCAAGTTCTGTACTGGCTTACACTCCTTTGTCACCTGCTCTTTCGTTGAAACTAGAAGCTCCTTCATTTCACTCCTTTTGGTTGTGTACTGCACATCGTAGGCATCAATTTCAGGGTACAATTCTTCGTAGTACGCTGCGTAGTAGCGGTTTTCATCGATGAACACCGTTCTTCCATTGTGATTCAGGGCTTTCCACAGGAGGGTCTCGTGTGTGAGGCCGAAGATGAGGAGGTTGCAAGGGGAAGAGCATTTTCGAAGCACATCGGAGATGGGCTTGAGGTCTGAGTGTGGCATATGGAATGTGTCATTGGACTTCGAAGCATAATGCAGAAGTGTGTTTATCACGGTGACTGGTAACCCAGAACCAGGGGTTGGAGAAGAAGAGGATGAAGAAACTATGGAGATTTTGGATACCTTGGTGATCGAAGAAGATGATTCTCGGGTGTAAATTAGCGTACCCAGGAATGCTAGGGTGAAGAAGGAGACAAAAGCCAGAAGCCATATCCGATTGGAGCTTCCTTGTTTTTGGATATAAGGGTGAAGGAGGATGAGTTTAGTGTAATTGTTGGTGTTCTTCATTTTTGTTCTCTGAGAGTCTCTGAGCCCTGAGAGAATTGTGGGAGAATGGTTTGATTATAAAGAAGGGTTAAAGCAATGGTGAAGGGAAGATTGAGAGTGACCTGACGACATTTTATTACAAAGACCCTCCGTCAAGAAGATCCCTGAACCGAAAACAATGGTAAAAAGAGAGAGAGAAATGAAGCGATCAGGTCTAAATTACTTTTGGCATAACTTGTCTTCATCAGATTCAGATGGGGTTGGTTATATCTACAGTAGTTTATTTCCCAATGTGGACTGTTCAATCGATGAGCGGTTGGTTTATTGCTGAACCCAAAAAAACACAATAGACGAGAGAATTAAGCAGTGTTAGGGAGTGGTTGGACCTGAGATGAGAGGGATGGAACAGGCAGAAGTAGCAGCGACCCAATAACTAATTACAAGCCACAGGTCGCTTTTCCTTCTTGATTTGAGCTTTATTTCCTACGAAACCTCTCATTCTCTCTCTATTATTGCAGAAATTTTCAAAACAATTGGCTGCTTTGAAGGAGACAAATCACCTGCCACCGGTGAGTGAGTGCTCTTTGAATTAGTGCATGTGATAATTGTTTAATTTATATAATCGCCAGTGGATAATATGTATGTTTATATACACACACACATACACACGGGGGGGACCTGGAAGAAATTAAAAAGGCATATTTGTAAGGTAGAAGCAAGTTTTCAAGCTGGTAGTTCATACCCAGTGGGTAGAATTGATACAGAAAAACACAAGCCTGTACCTTCCTTTGTATTCAAATCAGCAACTACTACTGCTTGTGACCTCAAATGTGAAACATCCTGAGATTAAGTTTCTTAGCCTCACATGTCTTTTCTAATGTTTTGGTCAGAGGAGTAGGATTAACAACACAGCAATCACAAGATGAAAAGCAACATCAGAGACAAAAACAGACAAGTACTACCACAGAGTGTATCATATAGCCTCTTCTTCTCCTTCCTTGGCGGCATTTCCAGTGGAAGAATGATAATATCGTACAGGAATGTCTTATGTTTAGCATCACAGGTAAAAATTACCTCTTTTTGTCAAATATTTAACCAGGTATTTTGTTGCCAAGAGTGGCTTGTTATTGTTTAACGTGGTTTTCTTCCAAAAAAGAAAAGGCCTTTGGCTTTGGCCCAGAAGTGACCTTCGTCCTGTGCTGTGGAAAGTTCATGGCTATGGAGGCTTTTCAGAAGAGAAGAGAAACAGAGAGGGTCCTCCATGTGATGTGATACAGTATGCCTCATAATTTAAGCATATGGCCAATCACAGATGTTGAATAATTGGATTCCTTTTAAAACTTTAGTTCTTCATGACGTTCCAGAAATCCCTGTGCTGTGTTCTTTTGAGTCTTTTTCTATTCAATTTGAAAGGTAAATTTGGGAGGTAAAAGAAAAGAGGAACAAGGAGAGAATGATGAGGTGATCGAAAACAACAAAAAGAGAGAAGAAACTTTGTATATTTTTGAACTATTGATGCTTAACTTGTTTATTGCATATAATACGACATTGTAGTTAAATATATTGAGGACAATCTCATAGGGCAACGCTCATCCCCGACAGAGCATAGATTTAAGAGATTTGAATTTGTTTGGTACCAATTGACTTGGGAGATAGTCCAAGCTCCCTTCCCATGTTATCATCGGACAAGCTCTGAAACCAAACTAACAAAAGCAAAATATTCAAATAATAAAAATATTTATACATCAAACATATTACTCCTCCGGTCCTTAATATAGGACCCAATTCTTCAATTGGTTTTGGTCCTAAATATAAGACCCATTTCTTATATTTATCAATTTTCTCTAAATTACCCCATGGATACTCCCTCAACCATAATCAAGTAGAAGAAGGAGATGAGGTATTAAGAAAGATGATTATGGTTTTTTAGGAAAAATGTGTCATTTTTCTTATAATTAACTAACTTACCTAACTTTCTTAATCTAATCAAATTAGTTAAATGGGTCTTATATTAAGGACCGGAGGAGTATATCATATTAAATTATTTATATAAATTAGCCCAATACCGTCAAGAGTTAAATGTGAACATCCTTTTTAAATGGAATTCAAATATTAATCGTTGAGATTGGGAGAAATTGGGAGGAATTGTCTATTTTATTAAACCCAATCCTGTTGGTGTTGTTGTTTTGCTTATAATTTTAAAATCAAAATCAAGTGGCGGTTTCCAATGAGGATAAAATGTATAAATGAGATCCAATAATGTAATTAATGGGTGAAAGTGGAGATCATGATTATAATTTTATCTTCTTCTTCTTTTTTTTGCGCCAAATAAAATTGAAGACTTGGCCTTCACTCAAAGCTGCTATCTATTAAATTAAAATTCACTCAATAATCGCATGCACAGTAACGTGCGATTAAAGTTCAGAGTTTCTGTGGCCACTGCATGGACAAACTCATTTCTTAACACATGATCTTTGTCCTTTCTCAAGCGATTCCCCCCACTCTAAAATACATCATACCCTCCCGTCTTACACACAACTCATTTTTAATTAACTCATTAAACTCCAAAATTAGTTAAAATAATAATAGAATTATCTTAAATTTGTATCACTTTTATTTTTACCTCGATCAACCACCATCTTTAAATATTTTTATATTATATTAGAATCTGGTTAGAAAGACATTTATAAAATAACTCATTAAATATTTTATTAAAATAAAAGAAATGGCTTATATTAAGATGATAATTTCTTTCTTAAAAGTGCCCCACATAGGACCGAAGGAGTAATTAATGCCCATAATTAAGAAACTTGTGCGATCCAATTATGCTATCTTCTCTTACATATTTTTTTTATTAAAATAATGTTGGTTGCATTTTATTATGGGAGAATTGTAATTAGGTCCCACTCAAGGGAATTAAATACAAAAAGATCCCTTGAAATCATTAAATTATTCTGAAGTCCCAAAAGATCTTTTTGCAATAAATTTTATTTGTTTAATTACCAAATTACCCTTTTTTTTAATTTGTATTGACAACTGAAAGAGTAGTGGTTGACAACTTAAGGTGCAAAGATAGACAACTATCGCGGCTGGTTTGACAACTTATGGTGTGATATGCTGAGAAAATGTGTTGTCAAACCAGCCGCGATAGTTGTCAATCCTTACACCCTGAGTTGTCAACCTTCGCTCTTTCAGTTGTCAATGCAAACTTTAAAAAAACAAAAAAAGAAGGGTAATTTGATAAGTGAATAAATAAAATTTAATGCAAAAAATTTTTTTGGACTTTAAAATAATTTCATGATTTCAATGGACTTTTTTGTATTTAATTTCCTTGAATGGGACCTAATTGTCATTTTTCCTTTTATTATTTTAAATGATGTGATTTGCCTGGGCTCGTGGTGCCATCATTGACGGAACATTGCTGTGAAAAGTTAAAAGGGCCCTCTAGTAATACAAAGGGTTAAATATTTTGTATTAATGTTTAGATATACTTATGGTTAAAAATTTATCATAGACTAACTTTTTTTTTATGCAGTTGAACTCTGCTTTTAATCTTTCAATACAAATATGTTTAACACTGAGTCATTTTATTCGTATAAGTCGACAACAAAGAAAAGTATATCATTGTGATGTAATCATTATTTTTCTTTCTTCCCGTGAATGATTGCGTTACCCCAAAAATTATAATTCGAATACAAGAAAAAATTAAATATATTATAATGTAGTATTTTTCATTACTTGCATTCATTCTTAATATAGTGTTTTAGACAGTCGACGAGAATTGGAAAGGAGGGGAGGAATCTTCACCTTGCTTGATTCCTTTTTTTTTTTTTTGTGTGCGCGCCGATGTTCACCTTGCTTGATTTAAAATATATGGAAGTGAAGAAAGAGAAAATTTAAACGAATATTTAAATTTCTCTTTCTTTTTAAAGGAAAATTTAAAGGGGGCGGAGTATCACCAAAAATTTTATATTTTCTCACAGAAAGTTGAAAAAAATTTTCAATCATTTTAGTCTCTATAATTTTAACCATATTATAAATTAATCCTAAAGTTTAACTCAGTACATATCATTTCCTCAAATTTTAACTATTTAATCAATTAGTTTCTATTTAACTTAATACAAGTGTCAATCTTCAAGTATTGAATTGTAATAAGCTAGGAACTAAGTAATTAAGGGCTTGTTTGGTTTTTTGTTTTAAAAACAATTTTTTGTTTTTAAAAAACAGAAAAACAAAAAAACTTTATTTGGTAATTTGTTTTCAGTAATTGTTTTTAAAAACAAAAAACAGTAACATGTTTTTAAAAACCAAAAAACCAAAACAACTTTTACATTTTTTATGTTTCTGTTTTTGTGTTTTTTATTTTTTGTTTTAAAAATTTTTGAGAAATCTTTTTCTCTTCTCACCTACTATCTACCACTTATCATTATTAGAGATAACTATCACCTACCAAATGTAGTTTTCTATTGTTTTTTTTTCAAACATGATTTTTTAAAATTATTATCCAAACAAAATCTTTTGCTTTTTATTTTCAAAACTTGTTCTAAGAAACAATTTTATAAAATTGTTTTGAGAACAAGAAAATAAAGAATAAAAACAAACAGGCCCTAAATTTTTCAAAAGAAAAACTTGCTTTTGTTTTCATTAGAAAGTTGTCCTTGGTGATTAATAAAGATGTTTCAATTTTGTCTCATAGTCTCCTACTTTTTATGAGCTTCATTCATCCACATGCACTCACTAATTCCAAAAAGCCTAGTCATACCTTTTGATAATTCGTCTAAGCATCACGGCCTTGCAAATCCGAGAGAAAAGACCCACTTCATCAAACTTTAAATTAGAAACCGATCCCGTGAGTTTGTACTATAGATGATAAAATAAAACTGCTCAAAAAACCATCTGATATATATATATATATATATATGTATGTATGAGATAAATTTCATATCAGAGATTGATAGATATTGAAATTGATTAATTATTACTCTTCCGGTTCTAAATATAAAACCCTTATACATACTACTGAAAGAACACATGCTAATAACCAAGCAAGTCAAAAGGCCTCGATTCTAACCGTTGAAAGAGCCTAGGAAAAATAATATGCTGTTGTCATACCATGAGATGAATGGAATATTTATCATTTAAAAAACAAATTTAAGCTGGATATGAGGTTAATTATAATTTTAGATTTATTTTAATTTTTTGTCCTTCTTCTTTCCAAGCCAATCGAGGTTATATTAATCAAAATCATTTCTCCATCCTCAGCCCTTTCTTTCCCACATTATTAAGCCAAACAATTTGTAAACATTTTATTGATGTGTTACGTAAAGCAGAATCATCACCAAATTGCATTAATTATAACACAGAATTATAATTATCTTATTATATATGCACCATTCTCATGAATGAAACAGCATCTTACGTGCTGTGCTGTCACATGCTTCAAATTTCAAACATCACTGTTTTTCTAATTTAGAGCTTGAGACAACAATTCCAAACTTTTTCCTTAAGCAAAGTGCCAAATGTTCTTCTCTACATCTAATTTTAGTTGTTTTTTATTGATTAAAGTCATTCTCAATTTTCCCTCTATGTATAATCGATTATCCAAAAAGCTGATTAATAAATCCCTAAAGAAAATTTAATTTAATTTCTCTCATACTCTATTCACCAATTTAATGACACCACACACCTCTTCACATAGCGGTTGGGGGTTCTTTGCCACTATAGCTATAAAATAAACACAAGATTGTGCAATAATATATATAAATGAACTAAACTGTTTAGCAGAATATTACTAAACTAAATTAATTAGAATAGTAGACATTAAGTGAAAAACCTCTAGGAGAGGGGAAAAAAAAAAGAGGAGGAGGAGGTAATGACTGTTCCGAGCTCATTTGTTGAGCATGAACAATATTTATTCTTAATAAATACTCCCTCCGTTCTTTATTATAAGAGACAAATAACTGAATTACGTTGATCAAAAAAGCAGTTAAAATTAGTTAAGAACAATCAATGTGTAAAAAATATAATTTTTTTTCAAAAATGCCCTCATTAATAAGGAGAGAGAGCATGAGAGAGAACAATTAAATTATTGAAAGAAAGAAGTGGGAGGGAGAGAGAGTGTGAGTTAGAGACAATAAATATGGGTAAAATAGGAAATTAATACAAAAAAGTAGAGACAACTTTTAAGTGTCTCTTATATATAGGAACATGCCATAAGCATCAAATGTCTCTTATAATAAGGAACGGAGGGAGTACAAAATAAAAAGAAAAAATCATAAAAAAACTGTTGAAATTAAAAAATTATATACAAGAACCTGTTTATAAAAATTGTTGTTAAAACTCATACTATTGTTGTTAAAACCTGATCTAATATTATAATGGGTTCCTATTTATAATTTTTTTACTTGGGCAATCTTTTCTTGGATTTTTCTAAATGAAAATAGAAAATGTTTCTTTTTGGTATTTTTTTTTAATTAATGAGCTGGGCAGCAATACAATACCTGGCCCGTGCCTATCTTGACTTTCTTTTGCCCGTCTTTGACATCTTATCCTGACATTTTAAAATTAAAATTGCAAAAGAAAATTATTTGCCCTTTCGCACTTCTGTTTTTTTTTTTTTTTTTTGAGCTGAGCCCCTTCGCACTTCAGTGCATGGGGGCTCACAGTCACTTGCACTGTTTGCAGTTCCACTCAATGCCTCACCTATTGAGCTGTGTCTTCATTCAAACACGATCCTTCTGAACTCTGAACCTTTCACAATCACGATCACAATGCCTCTTTCCGAAACTCTCTTTCCTCTCTTCTTCTTGTGCTTCACTCTCTCCACCGTCCTTTCCTATCAGTCTTTTCCGGCTACCTCCAAACTGCTCCTCTCCTCCGACGCCGTTTCGTTGCTCTCTTTCAAGTCCAAAGCCGACCTCGACAACAAGCTACTCTATGTCCTTCACGAGCGCTTCGATTACTGTCAATGGCAGGGCGTGAAGTGCGCACAGGGCCGAGTGGTTCGCTTCTTCCTTCAGGGCTCTGGTCTTCGGGGCGTCTTCGCTTTCGACACCCTCTCTCGCCTCGACCAGCTTCGAGTCCTCTGCCTCCGCAATAACTCCCTCTTCGGTCCCATCCCCGATCTCTCCCCCCTCTTCAACCTGAAGGGGCTGCTTCTTGACCATAATTTCTTCTCAGGTTCGTTACCTCCCTCGTTTCTTTTGCTTCATCGCCTTCGTACTCTTTCTCTATCTCATAACAACCTCACCGGTTCAGTCCCTGTCGAGTTAGTTAATTTGGACCATTTAGTAACCCTCCGCCTTGAGTCGAACGGTTTTAATGGAACCATTCCGCCGTTGAACCAGTCCTCCCTCCTTATCTTCAATGTCTCCGGCAATAACCTCACAGGGCCGATTCCGGCAACTCTCACTCTTGCTCGATTCCACACGGCGTCGTTTTCGGGGAATCCGGGTCTATGTGGGGACATTATTTCCAAAGCATGTGATCATCCTAGGCCTCGAACCTTTGGTTCTTCCAATGCCTCTGTCTCATTGGGCCAAAGCGCTGAATCACAGGGCAACATCGTCGTTTCTTCGGTGACTAGCAAGAAGCACAAGAGTAACAGCCTGATTCTTGGGTCCACTATTGGTGCCTCGATTCTGATTGCGTCTTTTCTAGGGCTTATCGCGGTGGTCAGGAGACGGAGTGTTTCGAGTAATTTGGAAAGCCCAAAAATGGCGGCAATGGACGTTATGGATGCGCCTCCGGGGAAGAAAATGGAGGTAATCGATGGAGCTGATCATCATAATAGAGAGAAATTGGTGTTCTGTTGTGGAGAGGCGCAACTGTATACACTGGAGCAGTTGATGAGGGGGTCGGCCGAGTTGCTGGGAAGGGGTAGCATTGGGACTACGTACAAAGCAGTCGTGGATGGGAGGTTCACTTTGACAGTAAAGAGGCTAGATGCTGGTAAGAGTGCAAGAACAAGTGGGCAAGTATTTGAGAGGCACATGGAAATGGTGGGTCAGCTTCGGCATCCAAATTTAGTACCGGTTAGAGCTTATTTTCAGGCTGAGACAGAGAGGCTGGTGATCTGTGATTATCAGTCTAATGGCAGCCTCTTCAGCCTCATTCATGGTAATTCCCATGGCTCTCAGTTTCTTTTTGTTCTCTGCTAACTAGAGTTCGATTGATGGGATTCATCCTATTTTCTTTTGATGAATCTATTAGTAACCAAATTGATTGCTTAACAACGGTTTATCTCGTGAAGTCGTGATCCATGTGTCTTTGAGATTGGTGTGTCTGCAACTCTTTTTTTTTTTTTGGCTGCTATTAAAAAGATAAATTTATTTTTAAAAAATGAATTTCTCTCTCTCTTGAGGTCGTTATCTCGTTTGATTGAATGATGGATTCTGTTTTCCTGTATCCAAGTCCGAAAAGGTCCTCAGCACAGCAGTATCCATACCCGCAATCACGGGAGTGAATGCCTTGGTTGCTGTATTCTGATCCATGGTCTTTTAGATTAGGCTGTCTGCAACTTTTCTTCTTTTTCACTCGCCAATGAAAAGAAAATCTATTTCTGTCTCTTTATCAAATTTTCGTACAGAGATAGATTCTGCTTTCTTGGACTAACTGGATCAAAAAAGGCCCTCAGTAAAGTATGCATGCCCATAATCACGGGGTTTGTAATTGGTTTCTCTTCTTCTTGATATTGTGATTTGGCTGTGGATGTTAATCTTTGGCTGAATGTTTTCGACGTGCTGACTACGCGCCATCCAGTTGAATTTTTGCTAGTCGGCCACCCATTATCATTAAACATTGTAACTTAAAAACTCAAACTTTTAATTTTTTGCTGAAATTATTCCGCCGCAAAATCATGGGTGTTTTCTCATTTCGGGCTCATTTTCAGCACTCTAATGAACGCGAGCAATAGATGATATTATTTTTCATCTATTGCTGCGTGATTTCATTTGTCTTTTAAATTTAGTTCTAGAATGAAATTTGAGTTGAGTTGGATTTTAATAAACTTTCAAAATCAACAACATACTTTTGGACTCAATCTGTAAGCGGGAGGATAACTCATGTTTCCGTCCACTTGATGGCAACAATCTACAATTCTGCTATATATCTTTGCAGGTTCAAGATCAGCAAGAGCAAAGCCTCTTCACTGGACATCGTGCTTAAAAATAGCTGAAGACATAGCTCATGGACTCGCCTACATACACCAAACATCAAGATTAATCCACGGCAACCTAAAGTCCTCCAATGTCCTTCTTGGAGTGGATTTTGAAGCTTGTGTTACAGACTATTGTTTGTCCCTTCTCGCGGACTCTTCATCCGGTGATGATCCTGATTCTGCTGCCTATAAAGCACCTGAAACTCGCAACACTAATCGCCCACCTACTTCTAAATCTGATGTCTATACATTTGGGGTGCTTCTACTGGAGCTTCTAACTTCTAAATACCCTTCTCAGCATCCCTTCCTTGTGCCCATGGATTTGCAGGATTGGGTTAGAGCAATGAGGAACGACTATGGTGCTGAAGATAAACAGCTGGGAATGCTCACAGAGGTCGCAAGTATTTGCACTGTTATATCACCTGAGCAGAGACCAGCAATGTGGCAAGTCTTGAAGATGATACAGGAAATAAAGAAGAGTGTCACACTCGAAGGTCATATATCTGCTGGGTTTTCATAGCTTCTATATTACAGAAAGCATGGAAAATCATAAAGGCCAATAGCTTTTACCTATGATTACAACTCAAAAAAAGAAAATTTGAGGAAATATTTCCGCATCTGTATGCAACCGGCTTCCCTGCTCTTAATGACTACGCTTTGACAAGTTTTGAAAGAAACTAAAAATTTTATTTTATTTTGCCTTGCTTCTAGCTCAAATTTCACGACAGCATATTGAATCAATAAAACGAATGAACTCAAAAGGGAATGAAATAAACAACTGATTGGTGAGAAAAACTCTTTTGAATCCATGTACACAGTACAGGATACGAGGGTTTCAATTAAATGAAACATTCTCCTGTTTCGAGGGCAAGGGCGAACTCAGCGCAACTTCCGCTTTGGTCACCCTTCTGACTTGTGTGTGTGTAGCCCGTGCCTTCTTGCTAGTTATTTCGTTTAAAAAGGGGTGTTTAGATAGAAACCAAGTCATGGTTTTGAAAGTACTTTTACGATTTACAAAATAAATATGTGGAGGAGTTTGCCTCGTTTTGCGGAAAAGTGTTTCTGAGAAACAATTTTCAAAGTTGTCAAACACCCCCTAAGCCTATCAACATGTTCAACGGTGAATAGTATGAACTACTTCCTTTAATCTTAAATATAAGATTTATTTTGTAATGCAAATTATATTACAAAATAAGTTTTATATTTAGGATCGGAGGAGTATTTTTAAATAAATATAGTATTATTTTAATCTCAAAAAATAATCCTTCTTATTTATTTCATAATTTTTATGGATAAATTCGCAATTAGAATAAATCGCATTAGAGTGGGATTGGGTTTGTAGGAAGTCAATTTGTAACTTCTAAAACATGTTTGGATTTTTTTTTCATGCACTCATTACCTTCTATACGCTTAAGAAAAACTTTTTTTAAAAAAAAGAAGTGCAGAAATTCGACATGTTTGGATTTTATTTGATAATTGAGCGTACCGACTATGAGGAAGCCGAAGGCCTCTTTTTTCTTTAAAAAAAAAAAAAAAGAAGGAAGGAAAATTAGCCTTTTAGTGAATCAAGCAAGAACCAAATAAATTTTGAGGTGTAACTTTTCTCATTATTCCATAAATGCTCTTGAAAACCAGTCTCTCTTATATTTTTTAAAATATGCTCCCATATTAAATTTAATAAAGTTTCAAAAAGGAATTATTTTAAATTTAAATTTAATTTTACGGCCAAGAAAAATGCTGATTTTTTTTTATAATAGCATTTTGCACGTGATAGTGTGATACTGTCACCGCAATAATTGGGTAGAGTGGGCTTATCCATAGATTGCAACCATAGTAAATACTCCTCCTATTCTTAATATAAAATCTATTTAACTAATTTGATCAGATTAAAAAATTAGGTAAGTTAGTTAATTATAAGAAATACTCCTCCGGTCCTTAATATAGGATCCAATTGTTGAGTTGGTTTTGGTCCTAAATATAAGACCCATTTCTCATATTTATTAATTTTCTCTAAATTACCCCTATGGATACTCCCTCAACCATAATCAAGTAGAAGAGGGAAATGAGGTATTAAGAAAGATGATTATGGTATTTTAGGAAAAACGTGTCACATTTCTTATAATTAACTAACTTACCTACCTTCCTTAATCTAATCAAATTAGTTAAATGAGTCTTATATTAAGGACCGGAGGAGTATGACATGTTTTTACTAAAACACCATAATCATCTTTCTTAATATAGGGCTCCTCTTTTGTTTAATTATGGTTGAAGGAGTATGAGAAAATTAATAAACATGAGAAATATACATTATATTTAGGATCAAAACCAACTTAATAATTAGATCTTATATTAAGAACTGAAGAAGTATTTGCGACCCGGATTCAAGAACCGTAGCAACAGCTCATCTTTGATTTTGATGCTATCATTTCAAAGGATTCGGCGGATGTACGGGTGTTCTTTTTTCTTCCTCAAATTAAAAATTCAATGAAATAGCAAAAACTAAATTATGTTCTCTTTCCCGTGTAAAACATAACTTAACAAGCCAAGTGAAGAAATAAGAATAAAGATAAAGGGGATAAGAGTAGAGTTGTAAATTTAAAAAATAAGATGTGCCGTTCGGTCCAGCTATTAATCAGCCTCATTTCAAGTCTTGGAAATTTTTAGGAGGGCATGTGAACGACCAAAATTAGAAAGAAAAATTGTAACAAAAAAAAAAGTAGAAAGAAATTTTTGAAAGCATTGAATGAAATCCTCTGTAGCAGTGTGTTGACTTTGTCTCTGCAATAATGTAAATGATCTGACTCATGGTTCAAGATGGACTCTGCAATAGTGGCGGAGTAGAGATTATGAATTAAAAGAAACATTCCACCGCAAAGGGTTACGATTGAAAAGAGAATGCAACAATTTTTTTTTTTTTAAAAAAAAATTTAAGTGAGTTTGATTCCGAAAACTCAATAAAGTCAAGATATGCTTTTATTGCTTACAAAAATACTTACAGATCACCTCTTAATAATATTCTCACGCTAATAGCAGGAACCTTCGAACTTATAAGTTATGGGCAAACTCTTTATTAATAGGATCAATTATTACTCGCAACAACCTTTTTTTTCCCCTGATCCCAAGCATGAGAATGCAATACGTTAATCGCATAATGATGACTCATAAATGTTGGCAAGCCTTGTTGAACGTGATGGGGGTTAGGTGTGGAACAGAGCAGCCGTTGCGCACTCTCCATTTAAGCTTATTGAGTACTCATAATGTACGCGTTTAGTATTTTCAAGAATTTCTTCCCAAATCCATGAATAGCTATAAGGTCTCTTGATAAATTTGAAATTTCTGAATAATGAAGTTTTAAAAAAAAAATATTACTCTTCCGATCTTAAATATAAGACCCTTATATATAGTATATATAAGGATCTTATATTTAGAACTAAAGGAGTATATTCATAAAAGAAAAGTATTGTGAGGGACTGTGGAGTTGATTTTTATCATCACCGTTCCTTGTTTGCAAATAACTCAATCCATATGACATCTTTTTTCTGGTAAAAAAAAAAAGAGAGAGATCATATGGATTGAATTCCTGACCGTTCAACAACGCTACCGTGGGACTCCTTTTTCTTTCTCTGTTTAATTAAAAATGTAAAGAAAGTTAATTGAATCCACCTTTCGTTTTCTATCTTGTGCCCCATTTGACAAACTTTGTTGTTTGTTCCCCACAAATGGCCCAGTGACGACAGGGAGAGCTCTTGGATTTCACCGTCCTCTTTCTTCCTGTGGGCACACGCACAGCTCATTGCTTCCCTCCTTCCACCGTCACCCCTCTCTCTCTTGTCTTTTATCATCCACTCTTATTAGTTGTCTAAATTTGAATTTGGGGGAAAATTTATTCTGAATTTGAAACGTTAGGTAATCAAACAAAAATTTAGCATAAATTTATCTCAAAAGTTTAAAATTATAATAATATTATCCTTTATAATTAAAAATATTAATAATCAATATCATCATTTTAATTGTTAACATTAGTTTTTATTGATAAAGAGCAACATGATTTTAAACTTTCGGGATAAATTTATACTCAGTACTTCTGATAAAAACTTTTCTAAATAAATTTGCACCTTAGCTCTATAAATTCTAATTCTTTAACTCCAAATAATGCAATTATAAATGCACAAGTTAATTTTTATTGCTGGCAAAAAAATAAATTAAATTAAATGTTTAATCTATATAAGTTATTATCATTTACATGTATGAGCAGAAAAGCTTACCCACCGATCAAGAGTTTATAACTTAGTGGGCATCCCGTGCCTCCTTTCATAGGGGAAGTCACAGGTTCTATAACCCATATTATTATATAGGGATGGATGAGAGTTAATTTTTTGGTCACTTAAACCAATGAATCATAATTCAAGGACAGAAAAAGTTAGCGGATAAACCAAAGCAAGTTAAATGATCGAAAAAAAGGAGATAAATACTTGTTGGGTACTTAATATAGAATTTAATTATTAAGTTAGTTTTTATTCTAAAGACCTATTTTTCATATTTATCAATTTTCTTTAAATTACTTCTGTAGATACTCTCCTAACCATAATTAAGTAGAAAAGGAAGAAGGAATATTAAGAAAGATGATTATGGTGTTTTAGGAAAAACGTGTCACATTTCTTATAATTAACCAACTTACCTAACTTCCTTAATCTAATCAAATTAGTTAAATGGGTCTTATATTAAGGACCGGAGAAGTATATTTTCAAGTTTTCTATGCATTAAACTTATCGTATATTCTTTTTCATTATCACTTATCCTAGGTTTGGTATGAAAAAAGTGCAAGGGCAGGAGAAGAGGGAGAAAATTTTAATGAGTTTCATTTAAAAATTTGAAAAAATATGGTTTTAAAATTTTGATAAAAAGAAGATGTAAAATAAAAGAGTAATAAAAATCAATTAAAAACTTTCAACTCCATTTTTTTTAATTTTTTTAAATCAAACACATTAAAATATTCTCATCTTTCTCATTGTCTTCATTTTTTTAATACCAAACGCACTCTTAGAGCGTTTATTTCATGGTTCAATTTCATATATTCGCACGAGAAGACAATATTGACCCAATAGAGTCCTCGCAGAATGGGCTCTGAAAATAGTGCGTATTAATGCCATCCTCGTTGTGAAGCATTGGCGCTCGTGGTCGCGGATCGTCACGGATTGCGTCTGGGCTGCGGTGGCGTGATTCTCACGCGAGCTTTAACGAAAAATGAATAAATAAATAAAGGCAAATGCATTGACTTTTCAGGGCTCAATTATTTATTTATTTATTCAAATCTCAAAAACAGATAAAGGACAATGCAGTACCTCTGTTGATGGGATCAGGACCGTCCGTTCTCCAAAGCGCTGAATAAAGGCGAAGTCTCTTATCGATCTGGAAAGGAGGTTTCTGCTTCGTGTATTAAAATAAGATATCAGCGGCAACGCCGACTTGGCCTGACTTCCTTAGAAAGGAGTGTGCGTGTGAGAGAGATTTCAGAGAGAAGAACGAGGAGCGAGACATGTCGGGAATTGCTCGTGGACGCCTTACCGAGGAACGAAAGGCTTGGCGTAAGAACCATCCCCATGTTCGTACTGCGGTCCCTCAATTTCTTTTGTTGTTTTCTCCCGTTTTTGTTAATCCAATGCTGATTCGGTAATTTTTTGGGACTTCAGTTTGTTGCCGATTGATTTTGTTTTGCTTCTGTAATTTAGGGTTTCGTTGCGAAGCCAGAGACTCTGCCAGACGGTTCCGTGAATTTGATGACTTGGCATTGCACTATTCCTGGCAAGGCCGGGGTGCGTTCTCCTTCTTTTCTTTTTTCCTTTTTATTTCCAATCATTCAGCAATTTTCTTTCCTATTATGTCGTAAAAAGTATCTGATGGTTCATAGCCTCCCCCAAGTGTGCATTTTTCTTAACGTTTGTTTAACTTGTTCTACTGACACAAAAAAAAAAGGGGAAAAAAGAAAAACGAAAGACACACACTCAAGTGGGGGAGACCTGTAATTCGTGAGAAATGGAATTTATGTCTATATAGTCATAATTCTACAGGATGGTGCTGGTTGTCGTATGGCGTTTGCCTTAGCAGAATATTAATTCCTTTTTTGCCTAAAATTATGGGAAAGAAACGCAAACCAGATAATTGTGAAGTGGGGAGATTGTTTTAACAAATTTTGACAGTATCTTCTGCCTTTTGTGTTTGTATTGCATATTTTTGTTGCTTTAACACCTTCTATTAATCTGAGCATGCTAATTTCAGGGCCTCGGCGTTAGATGTAAGGACTCTAGCATTTTATGGGTGTCTTTCGTATCGGATCGCCTTGGTCGGGCCTATAAAGACATTATTTCGTATGAACATGTTTATACGCTAGTTACCAGCCAATCCTTTGCATTCGTTCTAGTCCCTAGTCCCTACTTTGCATAATATAATCATAAAATGCATTTTGAGTTCGTTGTTTGATAATTTAAGCAGGGGTTGGTTCTTTGCTTGAGCTTGAGACTTCATAAATAATCATTTCAGCCCGCAGAAAAGGGGGATGGAACCTGTGGTGTTGATGCGTCTTAAACATAGGCATGCTGAATTTTAAAATATTGCATTGAGATAGCATGGATTGAGATCGTCTGCAGTAATGCACCATGTATTTTGGAGAGAGTGTCACAAAAGCGTGGAATTGTGTATTCTGTTCACCTTTTTACCACCCGTTCCCTGTTTTCTTTCTATGTCTCTCTAGATTCTAGAATCTAGATACACCGTGTGTTTACTTACTACATGGAGATGATCCAGATTTGAGATAGCACATTGTCAGGATCCTTTAATTGATCAAATTATTTGGAATGACACCTAGACTCTCGGGCATGTTTAAAAGGAAGTCCAATTTGTGTGACCAAAAAAAGAAAAAGTTCGATTTGAGTTTCAAAGCTTTCTTTCTTTCTCTTTCTCTGTTTCTTTTTACCTTTGTTTTTTTAGTTTGCATTTCAAGAAAAATACGGCAGTTATTTTGTCCTCAAGGCCATGTGTAAATGAAGCACTTCTTTTCTGACTCCTGTATGCAAATGCTGCAGACTGATTGGGAGGGTGGCTTTTTCCCACTTACGCTACACTTCAGTGAAGACTACCCTAGTAAGCCTCCAAAGTGTAGATTTCCACAAGGTTTCTTCCACCCTAATGTCTACCCTTCTGGAACTGTCTGTCTGTCTATACTTAATGAGGACAGTGTAAGTTTTTCTCTTGATAAATGTGAGACTATTTGAAATTAAGTTACATATTTTACTTGTATACTTCTACAGTTTTCAACATGAATGGGATTTTCGAACATATTCTACATGCAGGGATGGAGACCAGCTATAACTGTGAAGCAGATTCTTGTTGGTATACAAGACTTACTTGACCAGCCTAATCCTGCTGATCCTGCCCAGACAGAAGGATATCATCTCTTCATCCAGGTATTTTAATTAAACAGTCCTGCATTCTCCAGTTGCCCATTGAAGGTCTTACAATACATTATATTAATGTCATTGAATGATGGAGAACAACTTGTAGAATCTGAATATTTGATTAATTAAACTGAGGCTAGTTGGCTGAATCTGCATTGTATTTGTTGGAGCGTTCTGGCATGTGGTAATCACTGTTATGACTCCTTAGTTATGGTTGATTGTACATAGAGCCACGAGAAATGGTGTTCAGAAGTGCTTATCTATGTTAAATGTATTGGGTTTTTTCCGTATTATCAAAGGCACATCTTTACGCCCCACTTTATGCAGGATGCGGTGGAGTACAAGAGAAGAGTGCGGCAGCAGGCAAAGCATTACCCAGCTCTTGTTTAGTGCTAGATCAGCTTACTTTAGGAACTGTTTATGCTATGCTAGATGTTGATCACTTGTTAATTGTTCTGTCCAGAAACTGGCTTTTATTTGTTGGTTTCCTATGCCAAAATCCGTGGACTTTCATGATCTTAAGTTTAATTGTTTATGCATTCTAAGGTATGGACAAGTGTTGATATATAACATTTTGAAATTCAAATCAACCATCCTCGATGGTGATATCGATAGCAGAAATTTGCTGTGCATTATTAGTAATCTTTGTTGTTGCATTTCTATGCGAATAGCTATTTTGCTGTCTTTTCTGTGCCCACGCCTGTTTTCCCGTTTATGCCAAAAATGAAAAGTGGGGGACGATGCAATCAAGCGGACAAGACATCGCATCAGAATTGATGCATCCTTTTGGCAACGCAGTTTGGTTAGAGTTCCTTTGATGGTGTACCTTCATGCATGACTCGATTTGTTCAGTCGAACGTACAAAATCGCGAGGCAAACGATCCTTGGTATTTTAATATTTGAAAGAGATCTTTTGTATAGGGATAATAACGGCAGAATTTTCACTTGTTCCCTCGGTTTTAGGAAGATACTGATCTAATGTTGGCCAGGGAAAAGGGGAAAACACCTAGAGACATAAATCTAGCTTGTGATTTACAGGTGTGGCTACAGTGGAATTCAAAACATAAACCTGGGAAGAAGATGGATAGATGGCCGTGGAGTAAGGTCTTTGCTCATGCATGTTGGTTAATATGGAAAGCAAGATGCTCTCGGTTATTCGAAGGGACAAGGAGAACCCTGAATGAAGTTGTCCAGCAGTGCTTGTTTCACCTCATGGAAGAGACTGCTGATGGGAAATATAAACACAAGATATTTGTAGGACAGAATTACAACCAAACTTTTTGGAGACCTCTAACAACAGTTAAAGAGCATAACCACAGCCTGTGGAGGGATAGTTCGAGATGCCGAGGGAAATTGGGTGATCGGATCCGAAAAGAATTTAGGCGTATACCCAATTGCGGTGGCTGAAATTTTGGCAATCAAGACGGGGTTACAAGTTTGCCAAGAGCTTTGGATTACAGATGTGCATCTTAGATGCACTGACTTGTCTATTGCGTGATGGTGGAGAAGATCATCCTTTTAGACCAGATATTGAGGAAACAAGACAGCTGAACTTGGAGATTAATTACGGTCAAAGCGAGACTGTGCAATGCGCCAATATTCTCGCGCGGACAGCCCATAAGGATACGGATGAACTTATCTTACTGAAGGAAATGCCTGGAATATGCAGATCAGATCTTGCGTCCTTTTGGATAAGAAGAGGATGATGGAGGGAGCAGCCCCTATTAGCTAGTTTTTAATTTCCTCTTTCAAGCTGCAGCTTGCCACTTTTTAAGCGGGAAAAAAAAAATAAAAAGGCATCGGACTAGGTCGTAATACGTTTAATTGGGTTTGGACAAAAAAGAGTTGGGTCTAGAGAATGACCCGGAATTCGAAAAGAAGCGTGGGCAATGAAGAGTGAGCCGCAGGTCTTAACGGAATGGACGATGCCCACCAGCACGAAGAAAGCAGAACGATGGATGAGGGGAAGGGTGCAAACGTGGCAGCCTGGCAGGTTGATGATGAGGAACGAGCAATGTGAGTCCTTCCTTCCCTAGGGCTAGCATCATCCACAAGGCCGGTCTGGCAGGAAAAATGGGTTGGAATAAAAAGGAATAGAAAAAAAAAAGAAATGGAATAGAATAAAAATTTTGGTAAGCATTATTAGAATAAAAAATAAGTTGACGAAAAATTTTATGTTTGGTTGGATGAAAATGGATTGGAAAATTGTACAATTTTATCATGTTACCTTTAATGAAAGAATATAATATTATTAAATAAAAATGGTTTTTTTAACATTTAATAATATTATTAAAAAATTCAATAATAAAAAATTAATAATTTATTGTGCTAAATTATAATTTAAATAAATAAATATAAACATTCAGTATAAATATAAAAATTTGAATTTAAAACTCCAAATTCAAATTTGGCCTTTGGTTCAATTATGACTGAGTACATGAAATTTGAATTTGTTTGAGTTAAACTCATTCTTCTTAAGTAGGAACTGTCTCGTATTATGATAAAAATGTTTCACTTGGGATCAAAAGCATCAATACATGAGAATTGACCAGTTAGAATGAAAGCATTGCACTCCCATCTTGTCTCATTCTTGTGTATATTATTAAACTCTGTCTTTGTTTTTTAAGTATTAAACAAAACATATATAATTTAAAGAAACATCCTTCCTCTCCATATATACTTGAGCTTATACTGGGTGGTCTTCGTTACTTTCATTTCTCTGGTTTCATCTTCATCTTAAGGCTAACTTTGTTGGATTTTTTTTTATTTTTTTATTTTGCTTTTAGGTCACACCTTAAACAGAAGCGTTCCTGCTCATATAGATCTTGAATTTTCATGCGAGTTGGTTTTCGAACCAAGGTCTTCAACCTTTTGGTTCAAAAATTAGAGTGTTTCGTTTTTTTTTTTTTAAAAAAAAAAAAAAAGGTCCTACAGTGTCGGCCTTCCCTGGACCCACTTTCCTCTCAACTATAATGTCTTTCTCCACTCCCTCAATACCATCGGCTTAAACAAGAAGAATCAGAGGCCTAAACGAGAAGAAGAACCTCGGGCAAAATTATATTTAAGATTTTCCTATCTTGCCATGTTTAAAGAAAAATTCACCACCGCCAGAAAATGGGTTCTTGAAAAGTTTGGCAACCAAACTCGCCTTGTCCATGGAAAATCACGATTTTTCTTTTCCTTCGCCAACTTTTCAGTGTGCCAAACGGCCTCTAAATAAGAGGCATTAGACTATCATTTAACTGAGGCTTTATTAGCATAATTTTCTTCAAACTTCTAAAGACAAGGAAAACTAATATAACCTTCCAAAATAACAAAGCCAGCCTGCCCTGAAAACGTGAGGGCCCTGATCTCTCTTGCCTCTGTAAGACAACCTAGTTCTCCAAACATCCTCCCTTCATTCTCTTCCTGTCGTGTCGCCCTTCTGATACCTCAGAATTCAAAACCATCCCGCTTCCTTAATTTATTTCCGCTCCCCAAAGCCATTTCAATTAATCATGGTTATAACCTTGCGGCTCTTGAATGCTCTGATCTCTTCAATTATTTCCTTAACGCTGTTGTACGAAGACCCGCCAACCTCTATTGCTTTCTTCGCTTCTTGGCTCAGCTCTTTCGCTTTCTTCTTCTTTCTCTAGCTTCTTCTGTGTGCCAAACGGCCTCTAAATAAGAGGCATTAGACTATCATTTAACTGAGGCTTTATTAGCATAATTTTCTTCAAACTTCTAAAGACAAGGAAAACTAATATAACCTTCCAAAATAACAAAGCCAGCCTGCCCTGAAAACGTGAGGGCCCTGATCTCTCTTGCCTCTGTAAGACAACCTAGTTCTCCAAACATCCTCCCTTCATTCTCTTCCTGTCGTGTCGCCCTTCTGATACCTCAGAAATTCAAAACCATCCCGCTCCCTTAATTTATTTCCATCACCCACAAGCCATAGATTTTTTAGATTCAATTAATCAGGCCTTGGTTATAACCTTGCGGCTCTTGAATGCTCTGATCTCTTCAATTATTTCCTTAACGCTGTTGTACGAAGACCCGCCAACCTCTATTGCTTTCTTCGCTTCTTGGCTCAGCTCTTTCGCTTTCCTTCTTCTTTCTCTAGCTTCTTCTGCCTCGCCCATCAACGAAGCCACGGCCTTTCTTACCTCCTCCCTCGTCACAGCTGTTTCTTCTGCAAAGTCATTCCAGTTTCTCCATTCTTTCGATCCCACTGGTACTGCAATCTTCAGCACATCCACAAGCAGCTTCTCGTTCCCAAATTGCTCTGCGAACAAAGGCCACGTCACCATTGGCAAGCCTGCGTTCACGCTCTCCACTATCGTGTTCCATCCACAGTGAGTCACGATCCCTCCAATTGCAGGATGATCCAGTATCAGTAACTGTGGGGCCCAACCTTTAAACACGTAACCCTTGTTGGTTTCTTTAACTCTCTTCTCAAATTCCTCGAGAAATTCAACACCTTCATGTCCTTTTTCCTTCTTGGGAATCACCCAGATGAAATCGTGTCCTGAAGATTCCAGGCCATGAGCTATTTCGATCAGCTGAGAAGGAGGGAACTTGTTCATGCTTCCAAAACTGACATAAATGACAGAGTCCTCTACTTTCGTGTTAAGCCATTTAAGCCACCCTTCTTCTTCTTTGACATTGGCGCGTCCTCTCTCAGCTTTATCCTCGCCTTGATTGGCCCACAAGGAAACTGGGCCCACGCCCCAGCTCTTAGTTCCCATGATTTTCTTGTAATGCTCGGTGTAATCCCCATCCAGAGCGGAGAAGCTATTGAACAGAGACCCGAAGCTCTTTCTCTCTGCATCTTTGATCGCATTCATCATATGGGTGAACGTGTTTGTTGTCCTGAGCCAATCTGGTACCTGCAAAAGTGTCATCCTTAATTCGTGAGGCAAACCAGGAATGACGAAACTGTCAGTGCCGGATTCCACCCTCCGGTGAGGCTGGTACTTGTCGATGGCATGTTCAAGAGCGTGAGCGAGGCAGCTTCCATTGAGGAAAATCAACCTCGGAATGTTCATCTTAGCTGCCGTTTCGACACTCCAAGGAAAGAACATGTCGGTGACGATACAATCAGCTTGGTAATCCTCAAACAATTGCTCGAACTGGTCTCTGAGAAGAGAGAGTCCCTGGAAGATTTTGGAGGGCGTGTGAGGAGGAGTATCGGCATTGAAGTTTTCGATGCCTTCGGGAAGACCCACTTCAGCGAATGGGAATTTGACAATGTGGGTTCTGATGGGGCGGCCACGAGCCGAGTCGCGGTCGATGGATTTCTGGAAAATGGCGGCGTTGGCTGGGGTGGCAATGATGGTGACGTCGACGCCGAAGATGGCGAAGATTCTGGCAATATCAACGACGGGTATGATGTGGCTTGTTGATGAGAATGGAAGAAACACAACTCTAAGCTGATGATCGGCTTCAGCTAATTGAGGAGACTCCATCGAAGTGAAGTGAAGCTTCTGGTAAGAGAAGGACTTGGTAGCAGAGTCTTGAGATTTAGCTCTCAGATTTGCATTCTATTCTTCCAATTAGGACGACATTATATAGGAGAAAGAACTCCACGGGTGACACGCCTGGCTATTGTAACCCATTTTTTTATAGTTATTTCACCGAATGTGTAGATCGAGTTTCATGCAAATATTATACATATCCACACACAGTAACTGACCTCGATTTTTCTTTTGATTGGGCTCAACACGTGATGATCTTATATTTAAGTTCGCGGGAGAGCTATGTTCACTTCCATTTCCACATATAAAAGTGTGTCATTTTTAACTCACTAAGATCATTTGGAAAATAAAAAGAAGATACATCTCAGTAGTTGTGTGAAGGACATCTCATCTAATCTGCATAGAAGCCAATGGTTCTTTTATATCTTATCATGCAGGTTCTATTGTATATACCGTGAATCCAATTATCAATGCTTAACCAATTGTGTTAACTCTCGTTTGAGTAAAAAGAAGTAATAACACTTTCTTTGAGGGGGTGAAAAAAAAAAAAAGGGAGTATTGACTTGGTCTTTACTCTTTAGCCCTTGGATATGATGGGAGTAGATCAAAGCCTATTTAAGTATTTATAGCCTTTCAAAGCTTGAGCATGAGATCTTTTTAAAGGCATACATTCTAAGTAGCTCTAGGTGGTGGCGGATGTTGTTATCTGCGGTATCTCTGTCTTTAACATTTCATCTCTAACCGACTTTGTCCTTATTATCAAAAACAGTTAGCTCGGGCCTGAGGCTTAAAAAAAAAGCACAGGCTAAGGTTTTGAAGTTCAAACTAGGCCTGGTTTGTTTTCATACCCGCTTGAACGTCACATGATTAAAGTGGATCATACAAGAACAGGCCCAATGTTAAGACACTCACCGGCCCACAAATTAAACCAGAAAAGGTCAGAGCCCACAGCTTTGATGAAACGCGGGCCGCCTATTTGCTATTTATTTTTCTTTTTCAATTGCCCGACATAAGCCTATCAGCACCTGGCAATGATTTCCTTCTTTTTTATTCTCAAGGACAATTATATTAATAACTGGATAAAACCATACATTAAAAAAGGCTTCAACCTGCCAATGATTTCAAGAGTTTGTGATTTCCCATAATTCATAATGTTTTGTAATGCTGACCAAGAATTTAGATCATAGTATCATCCACTCTGTACACTGCCTTTGACCATTTGATAAGTTTCCCATGTTGTGAGCTGATAAGCTTCTTCTTCCTCTTATGGCGTTGACCACATCTTCTCTTCCACCCTCCCAAATCTTAATCTTCACAAACGTTGACTTCAAAATATGTCACTGTATCTCCATGCCTCACTGATCACTCCATAATTTCTCGTCCTCCTCCTCCTTCTGCGTCTATCTGAACAATTATTGATTTTTTTTTTTGGGTACTCTTTCCCGTGAAGACACACCCCGTTTATGATCATGACCACTGGATCTCACTGTCCCCAGTTCTTCTTTTCAATGATCTTAATTCCGAACCCTTTTAATAAAATATTTGGATACAGCAGACAAAAAGGATTCGGCCACTTTAAACCATTTCGTATCTATCTGTTCTTCACTTTTTTAGGTTCAAACTCCAATTAGCGTGACGGCAATTTTTTTTGAATTTCATGACATGTTATAGGTTTGAGTCCACAATCCACCTCTTCAGCCTTGACTGTATCTGGGATTCTCTGCTGTAAAGCATATAACTCTCAATTTAAAAAATGGAAATTACAAAAAAAGTGCAGGCCCTTTTTTGGGACCGATAAATCTGGTCCGTATTGACCATTGCATGTGAATAAATTGTACATATGTCACTCGCACTAGCTAGAATTTAGGGTTTTGTTGTTTTCTTGTGAAGAGGCGAAGTGAAACATTTAAAGTCTGTAACTTTTCTCCTTTTGGCAAATAAGTCTGTAACTTTCGATGTCTAGGACCTTAAAGGAAAACACATTGCAGAAAGAGAGTGGGAAACGAAATAAAGCTTATTAGAATTTAGAACTACTAATGTAATTAACTAATATAAGAACTATTTACCTAATTTAATTAGATTAAAAAAATAGGTAAATTAGTTAATTATAAAAAATATGACATGTTCTTCTAAAACATCATAATTATCTTCTTTAATATTCTCTCTTCTTCTCCTATTTGATTATGCACGGTTAAAGGAATATAAATAAAGATAATTTTAAAAAATTGATAAATATAAAAGATAAATTTTATATTTAAGATTAAAATTAATTTAATAATTAAATCATATATTAATTAAGGATCAAAAGAATATTTATTTTCGGCTTGAGCAAGGTGGTCTGCGTGCAAGAAGTAATTGCTACTGGTAAAGGCTGCATTATTGATTATTATTATTATTATTAAAAGGTCCTTCCACTGCTTCTGCTTTTGCTTCTGCTGAAAGCAAAGCCCATCATCCCTTTCATGCAAACATCATCCAAAGCAGCATTTTTAGGCTTAGTTGAAGAGTGGTAAAATACCGTGTCAACAGAAATGGATTACTTCCTCCGTCCTAATTATAGAGTCAAACTAGCTAATTTAACGCTTCTTAGAAGTAGTAGTTGATATTATTAAATTAAATATATGAAAAAAAAAGTGTGACTTTTAAATTTTATCTAACCAAATACAAAAGTACACACATAATTCTTTGAAGTCAATTAAATGGTAGATTTTACTATTGGTCTCAATACTACCTCCGATCCTTAATATAAGATCTCGTTTGACATTTATTTTGGTCATAATTATAAACTCTCGTCCACTTTATCTCTCATATTTATATATTTTATTCCAAGGTAGTCCCTTTAATAATGATAGTTCTAACTAAAACTTGATTAGCAAAAATATTTTAGAAAAGACAATACATATTTATTACAAATAACTAACTCAATTTATTTTCTTAATATCTTCAAATTAGTCAACTAGCTCTTATATAATTAGGATTGGAGGTAGCATTTGAAAGACATTTTATGATTTTATTGTTTAAATTTTTAAAATTTTTAAAGCAGCAACGCAAGGCTTCTAAGGATGCTGAGTGTTTTTTTTGTTTTTGGGTTGTCAAAATTAGACTGTTTTGATCAAAGTTATTGTGGTTGATAAATTTGTCAAAACAAAATGTCTTGTACTTTTAAATTATTACAAAGAGCATATATCCGTACAAAGGGCGTATAAACAAGATAAAAACTATCATAATAACTAATAAATCTATTCCATGTTAAAATTAATGTTTATTTTAGTTTTATGCTTAACATTATTTTTTTAAATTTCTTTTCATAATAACAGTTATTATTGTAGGGCTCATCTGCCAATATATTTTTGTCTGGGGATGAAATTTCACGAGACAAACCGTACGTGATATTTTCACGGGGCAACAATTTAGAAAAGTCAAGCAGAATAAAGTCCTCAGAATTAAATTTTTCACCTACTAAATACAATTTTTGATTTGACTTTCCCATCAATCGTGCATTTGTTCTGTGATTAGGTAGTCACAACTTACCGCGTCTTCCGACACATTTCCAAAATTAAATCATACGCATATCAAAGGTATGATTGAACATACACATTAACTTTTCATGCTCTGATTAATATTTTGATAATGCTGGAAAAATAAATAAATAGCCTCATAATAAACCAAATGGCATAAAAGAAAATAATATGTAAACCCTCTTGTCAATACTACTTCTCGTATTTAATATAAGAACTAGGTAGAGATTAAATTTAATCTTAAATATAAGACCTTAATCTAATTTACTTTCTAAAATTATAATCTTTTCTCCACAAATATCCCTATTGCTTGTGAGGTATTTCTACCACAAGATAGTTTTAGTGTACATGATTAAAAAAGGTAGTATAGAGAAGTCAGAACACAGCTAATTTTTTTAATTTTATCACATTAGATATATAGCTTTTATATTAATAATAAGAAATAGTACATCAGCCATATTCTAAAAAAGCCATGATCATTATATAATTTATTTTCATCTTCTGCAGCATTTTTGTTTTGACCAGCATTTAATAAATTATTCTGAAAATGTGACTAATGACAGTTTTTTTACATATGTGTGCGTATGCACATGGTTTGTGATCATAATTGGAAGTTTTGGTGAATGTCAATATTTTAATAGTAAAGTGGCGAGAGACAATTTTACTACAATTTTAAATTTTTGGAGCAATGAAATAAAAAAATATCTTGGTGCTCAATATTTATGAGTAAGACCTATTTTTCATATTTATCATTTTTTTCTAAATTATTTCTATAAATACTCTTTTAATCATAATCAAGTAGAAGAGGGAAGAATGATATTAAGAAAGATAATTATGATGTTTTAGGAAAAACATGTCATATTTCTTATAATTAATTCACCTACCTAACTTCCTTAATCTAATCAAATTAATTAAATAGGTTTTATATTAAGAATCAGAGGAGTATAATAAAATCTTATATTTGTAAATTATATAATAAGTCATCATAGAACAATTAAAATGAGAAAAAACATAAAAAAAGTTGAAAATTGCTAAATACCAAATAAAAAATGTTATAAAAATTTGGTTTCATCTGCAAAGATAGCGTTATTAACACCAAATAAAGTATTGTTACCAAATCATGTTAATAAAAATTTGGTGTCATTTGCAAAGACAGTGTTATTAACACCAAATAAAGTGTTGTTACTAAATCTGATTTATGATTTAGTAATTTTTAACTTCTTTTTTAATTATTTCCCCTTAAAATCGATGATAGCATGATTTTATTTCTAAACTCCGTTTAATCAAACTTGTTAACATAATGTTATTTGCTATCTACAGTTGTACGCCAACCTGGCTTAAAGCGCAGCCTAGCTATCAAAGTCTCCCGACCAACAACTTTGACACTCCAAACTCCAGACTGGCGTTGAGATGCCTGTGTGTCGTGCTTGCTTCTATTTTATCGTATTTCTTATTCTTAATATAAAAACTAAT